TAACCTTTGATGGGAAATATAACCTCGGATTTATTTTCTTCTCTGCTCTTCCCCTTTTGGAAAGTGGAAAAAAAACCCCCTCACATCATTCACGATGGCCATGATGTAGATCTGTGAAAATCAATCTGAAAATCACATCATCTATGGCAGATTGCTCCATAAATTGACTGAGTCCCAGGGGAGCATGTGTGGGAGGGAGAGAGAGACTAGCTTAGGCCTGGCTTTACAAAAGAGCTATCCATTCTTAAACCTTATCCACAATCCCCTCTCCCTTGCACCCCAAGCATCACCACCACCTCTGCTGAAGTCTGCTGGAACAGCCTGCAAGGTGTGTTGCACCCACGCCAGGGTCTCTACAGCAGCTCCCTCGTGCATTGAAACGCTGCAGAGACACCCAGCTCAGCCCTGCCATGGCTTTGGGCTGAGCACATCAGGTGATTTTGGGTGATCTTGGCTGCAAATTGCCACTACTGGGTTTCTACCCACTCGCCCAGCTCCCCCAGCACCCGACTGCCCGCTGCCAGGGACACCTGGAGAGCCCTGTTTTGGGGAGAGGGTGATATCAGCTGGGGAAGGAGAGCAATTAACACTTTTGGCATTCATTTAGAAGCCAGAATTGTGTTGATCTGTTGTGTTTTTTTTTTTAATTATCCACACAGAAATAGCAAAAGCAAATGAACAGTGGGCTCTTTCCTGCTCAGTGGCATTTAACCAGGAAATGGGATTGTGGGTACCGAGACAAGACAAGACCATGGGAAAGGCAGAGGTGAGACCAGCCCTGCCCATCCTCTTCCTCCCTGCTGCCTGTTAAAGCTGAAGGTGACACTAAACAGCTCCCAAGAACCTTGTGGGAGACATCATGTACCAGCTGGCTCTCCCGTGCACTTGTAGGGACCAGTTTCCAGGGAAGTCCATGGCATTTCACCTGCTCGACAGACTCCTTGCTCGTGGAGTCTGACAAATACAGCCAGTGTAGATGTGCAGCACTACATCACTGAGCAGGGCAGATCATTGTCAAGAGACATAAATAAATGAAAAGAAATAAAAATAGAGGTGCCGAGCCAGGCCAGGATGTTCCAGCCCTTCAGGGAGGACAACCCTTGCGAGTACATCCCACTGACTTTGAAAGCCACGCTGGTTCTGGAAAGGAGTGGAGGTTGCATGTGCTTGTTTGTCAGGGTGATGCTCACCTGTGGGGTGATGCTCACCCATGGAGGGATGCTGACCTATGGGGGAATGCTCACCCATGGGGGGGATGCTCACTCGGGGAACTGCCGGTGCTGCCAGCCTGTGAGCCAGCAGCTCCACGTGGCTCCCAGCATGAGTAAGCACCAGCCCCACTTCAGAGCCCACACACATCCTTGGCACTGTGAAAACGTGCTTGTAAGTGCCACTGGAGGAACGAAAGGGAAGGAGGGGGATGAGAGCCACCCCAGCATTTCCCCTCTGAGCCATCAGCTGTGCCCCCTATCAGGAACAAATCCCTGCCCGCTCATCCTTGAACGTATGGATTTTAAACACCTCACTGGGACTGAAAAAAGGAAGACAAAAGGTTTCATTCTTTCAAGACCCTGTCCCCTCCTGTTGTCCTTTCCACCCCCACAGGACTTGAGTTTGACTCCAGCATCTTCACATCCAAGTTTCCCTTGTTTTGTCAGAGGAGTGAGCATGGTCATCACCAGGCATTTGACTGAGGGTGTGTTTGAGTCCCAAGGACCAGAGCCTGACTTCTCTTGCAAACTCCCAGAGGTGGACAATTGCTGACATCCTGCCCAGAAAGCCTTTAGGGAAGAGCCAGTGCCCACAGAGCTACAGATACACCCACTGCCACGGGCCTCCATTTGGCATTGCAAGAGGAAAGCAGGGCAGAGACAGAGAGAAAAAAATCTAATAAGATGAGGCTTCTTCCCAGGAAGGGTCTTTTCCCAGGAAAAAGAGCCAGGTTATGGGGGGATGATCTGCAGCAGTCCCAGAAAAAGGACTATTCACATCCTCCAGGTACCTGGATGCAAGACAAGCCATACACAACATTCTCTGCAATGCTGGTACCGAGGGGAGGGACTGCTTCCACATCCTGGGAGCCCATGAGCTGCCTGGGCAGCTCTGCCTGGGACCTGGGGCTGGAAGGGTCCTGGAGCACCCAGGGTGAGGTGAGGGGAGCACACACAGGCCAGGCTTTTGGGTTTCTAGTGAACCTGTCCCCCACAGCTCTGCAAGCGCCGGCGAGGAGGAGCAGCCCCAGCACTTCTGGCAGCCACACACCAGCAGCATCTGTTTCTGGGGTACTTTTGTTCCCAATTTATCCCCTGTCTCCTGGAGCTATTATAAGCAGGTACAATCTGCATTGCCATTGTTATTCAGATGATGTACAGATAATTTTAACCTTTCTGTTCCATTTGTCAAGGGGCTTTTTTTAGCCTCTGCGCCTGCCAGGCAGTGCTGGCTCTCCGGCAGCGGAGGCTCCCCATTTTGCAGCATCAGTTTCCCTTGCTAGGGTGAAGCTCTGTCTCTCTGCACTGCTCATGGGCATCTTCATAGCCCCAGATATTTTGAGGGTTTGGGGGAAATGAGGTGGTTAAGCACTCAGCTAGCTACATCCATCACTCTTCCTGGTACCAACCTCCCCAAGCAGGGCTCCATGTGATGTCCATCAGAAACACCTGCATACTCCATCCTGCTTTCAAAGCCTTTGGAGTAGCTCATACTGAAGACAATCACTTCAAAGAATGTCAATGCAGGACTCATGGCTCGCACAGGAGGAGGTCCTCTACTCAAACTGCTTCCAGCACCAGTGCAAAGCCCTCATCACCACCCCACAGAGCCTTTCCTACAGTCAGGAGTGCAGAACATTTTCTTGGCTATAAAGTGGGAACTTACTTCCCAGCCTGAAAAAATGCTGGGCTGTCACTGCATCCATCGCCTCAGGAAGTGCTCTCAAAGCTGGGCCATCTCCTGGAACTGTACACTTCCCACTGAAAACATGCTTTTCATCACTTCATGAGCCAAAGAACTGAAAACTAAGCCTGTCAGCATTTGGGTTTCTGGTGACCCAATAGACAGAATAGAAAAAAGGGAAAGATGCACAAAGCAAAGAGCAAGACAAAGCCAATTCTTACAGGTCATGACATTTGGGCTTAGTCCAAGTTGGCACCCCACAGAGAGAGACTGCAGCACATGGGAAACACACAGGATAAAGCTCATCTCAAAGTGGTCCAGACAAACAAGGCGACTGCTTTCAGCCTTCCCTGAGCTCTGTTTGGCACCCTCCTGTCACTGGGAAGAAAAGGAGTCCTGTTGAAAAGCCATAAACCATCCCTGTCACCTTCGCTCAGCCTGGAGGCTGCCACAGGCTGCTGCCTCACCTCTGACTGCCTGAGAACTTTCTGTGCTTTAAACAGCTCTGCAAAAAAGAAATATAAAACATGATTTCAGCATCTTTGCTTGACAACTCACCCATGAGCTTTGGACCAGGCAACAGCATCAGCATCCACTTGACGTCTCCTGGGCGCAGGCGTGGAGAGTTTGAATTCCCCAAGCTGTTTGAATTCCCCAAAGCAGCGGATCCCAGCAGGGTTTCCAAGCCCTCAGTTTCCAGGCTGATGGTCCCTTGCATTTCTTCAGCAATAAAATATCATCATGATGCTCTTGGCTTCCCCTGGAGGTTTGCTGTGGTGCCGGTGTTCACAGCTCCTCAAGCTCCTGGTCTTGGACCCCCAAGATGCCCAGTGCCCCCCAGCTGGCATGTCTGGAAGCAGCCAGGCACAAGCCACAGCTCCCCCAGGATACCAACCCTTCTCAAACATCCTCCCTGCTTCTCTTCTTCACAGCTCCCCACCCTCCTTGGGGACACAGGGATGCCCACGCTGGGTAACACCCCATCCCATGTTGATGGGACTGCCAGCACAGGCTGTGTGCCACCCCTTCCCTGCCTTGGGGACTTTTTGCAGAGGTTCATCATCTCACCCAGAGTCCCCATGACCCCACCAGCATGGGGGGGGGGTGCCAATGAGACAGGGGCTGCAGTGGTTCTTTACAACAAGGTTTTATTTTTCTTTCCTTTTGACAAAAAACATTGAAGTTGTACATTGTTTTCAATTGGTTCAGTTCCCTGTTTGGGTCCGAACGAGCATGTTATGTTACAACATCCCACCCCCGAGCCTGGGAGTGAAGGCAGAGCATCTCCCACCCACCCTCCCACAGCCCCAGGAGCCACCAGCCCCACACCTGGGGGGCTCTGCTGTCTGAGGCCTCGTGGCAGAACAGGAGGATGGTGCTGGGACAACCAGCCTGGAAGGGACAGCAGGGCCCTGTGCTCATCTCCCCACAAACCCACCACAATCTCCACCCAGGAGCTTTGCAGGGCTTTGAGTCCAGTCCCAGCACCAAACTGGGAACCAGTTGCATGCTACTGGTGAACTCCTGCCTGGGCAGGGGCATGTCCTATGCACGGAGAGGTTGAAATACATCCCCTGCTTCTCATCCTCCCTCCCATGGTCAAGCATGGCCAGCAGCCGCAGAAGGCGAGGGCATTGGCAGGTCCTTGGTGTCCAGGAGGAGAAGGGAATGTCCAGAAAGCCACAGATAAGAGATTGTACCACAGCAAAGCGAGTCCAGAGCCTTGGAAAGCAAGGCACAGGCTGCAATGGCACCTTGGGGCCGGTTTTCCTTCCCCCTCAGCACAGTCCTTTCCGTGGTTCTCCTGGGGGTTGTTTTTGGTTTCAGAGACATGTTTTGGAGGTGCCACCTTGTCCTCGTGGGTCCCTGCCTGTCCTCCCACCATGGGAGCAGGACTGTGGCTGGTTCAGGAGACACAGAAGCAGGGCATTTTTGGGGCCCTTTCAGGGTAAAAAGGGGCTCTGTTTTGTTTCACACAGTTTTTGTACGCTAGTTAAACGCGGGGCTGACATGCCAAGAAGTTCAGGTTTGGACACTGCAGCCCAGTGCCACCAGGGGTTGTGCCCCAGCCTGTACCACCACTGTAGAGCATCACCACACACTGCTCACCGGCCCCACTCCGGGGCTGAGGAAAGAAAAACGCTCAAAGCCTGAAATCCGTATGAAACGTGCCCCCGCTTTGAGAGCATCACTCCCTTCCTCCCACCCGCCAGGCACAGACACAAAAAGCCGCCTCCTCCCCTCCCCGCGGGCTGTTACTCAGAGCCCGGTGCATTGTCAGACACCTTTCTGCATTTAGAAGGAGACGATACCACCACCTATATTTAGAGCAGGTACGGCATCGCCTCCCCCGGCCCTCGGCACCACCACGGCCCCGGTCCCGGATCCCACGTAATCCCACACTGCCCGTCAGACCCGGCTCCCCCAAATGCCGGCACAGGGAGCAATGCTCCCACAGCTTCAGGCTGAAGCCACGAACTGCTCAGGGATGGCTGGAAGGGGACAGGTGATGCCTACGCCCCCAGCCAGCACCAGGGACCTTCCCCACAGCTGAATGGGGCATGGTTTGTCCCCAAATGCCAAGATGGGGGAATGCAGGATCTGAGCCACAGGAATGGAAAGGGCTTCCTGGGGAATTTTTTGATCCTTTGGCAGGTGGTAGTGTCTGTTTGGGAAGCACAGGGTGAGCAGGGACAGCAGAGGTGCCACCCACTAGCAGGGACCAACGGAGGCAGGAGCAGCTTTGGGCCCCATAAGCAAACCTTCAGTGCACAGAGGGCAGTTTGACCACTAGAAGGAAGGATTTTGGTCCATGCCCAAGCCCTGGAGTAGGCAGCCTTTGGAAGTGATGGGACTTGCTTCTCACAAAGCAGAGCTCCATCAGAGGAGCTCACAAAGCAATCAGGGCAGGGACTGATCTGCACATGCAGGAGGGGGGCACTTTGTGCCCATAGCATCTTTCAGTCAGGAGAAGACATGAGTTATCCAGGACCAAAGCAAACCTTGGCCAGAGCCACTGCTCTACGGAAGAACAGCCCCAAGGACTCACACCACAACAACCTGCAGCACAGCACAGCCATGGGCAGGAGGAAGGGCAGGACCAGGGCTGCACTGCCTCCCCCTGCCCATCTCCACAAACACGGTCACGCCTGATCCAAACGCACTGACCAGACCCTGGCCCACAGAGCAAGCCCTTCCTGAGGCTCCAAAGGCACAGCACCCTCTGGATCCCCAGGACCATGCTCAGGCTGACGAGAGACACAACTCATAGCAGAAACACGCCACTGATCACCACGAGGCCACCAGCACCTCCCCGGGCTGGCAGGCACAGCATCGCACCCACAGCCGAGGGTGTGCATGGATCCTCAAGAGCTGACAGCACGTAATTATCAGCTAAGTTAATGACCAACACTGGAAGGTGGCCAAGGTGGCCCTGTTCTGCATTTTCAGTGTTTGCAGGAGGGGTGAGCCACCCTGCTCACCCCCCAGGCCATGCTCCTCTCTCAAAGTTCCACCAGCTCTCAGACACCCACCTGCTCCGGCACTGGGGCCATGGGGTTTGCAAACCCAGCCCCCTCATGTGGCAGCCCCTCTCTCCAAAGGAGGTGCTAGGCCCCAGGAACGGGCAGGAGCCATGGCTGCAGGGGAAACTGAGGCAGGGGTGGTGCCAAAGTCGGGCTCCTCTCCCAGAAGGACAGATCTTAAGGCACCATCATGCATGCACACCATCTTCACTCCCCTGCAGACATGGATATCTTCTTTCCCTGGGAAAACACAGCAAAGAGGCCTCTGAGAGGTTTGCTGTCACCATCTTGGCAGCGCTGGTGCCAAGCGAGCTGTACCCCCAGGAACAACCCCATCCTCATCCCTTGGGCATCCCACTCCTGCAGGCACTGCCGGCAGCTGAGCTGCCCAAGGACCCTTTGCCACAGCCATCTCTAATGGAGAAAATGCAATTCCCACCACTGGAAGTGCCAGGAGCAGGGTGACATTCCCAACGCTCTGCTACAGAGATGGGTGCACAGCAGCCCCCTGGGGAGGCTTGGTCCTGCCCCCACCAAAGGGGGTGCAGGCAGCAAAAGCCCCAGGGGGCTCCCCAGCATTGTCAGGTGACTTAAACAAATCCATGTATGTGTATATCTTTATATATACAGCATATAAATATATATACACACACACCCACCCGTATATACACACACAGGCACACCTAGAGTTCTCCGTATATAAATAAATATATGTCGGTGGGAGACAGTATACATTCGGTAGCACTGAGCCCCCCTGCCCCAGTACAAACCAGTTGGCTTCAGTTTTGCCCCCACTGGCAGACAGAGTTGCTCTGGTCTGTCTGGTGCACTCTTATCCCCTGCACCTCGCCATCACACCTTGCCCCTTTTCCCGGCAGGCTGAGACCCCCAGGGAGGGTAATTCAAAGCCACAGCAGCACAAGCCCAAGCAACAGAGCAAAGGGGGCCCCTGGTACCCCCTTGCTGGGGCTCTCTGGCCTTGGGGAGCAGAAAACCATCAGGATGAGCCTTCCCGGGGGTCCCACTCGGGGCAGGGAGCTGGGCTGCGGCTGGGGGGGTTCCCCCTTGCCCCCCAGCGCGCACACCCGGCCGGGTCACTCCACCGCCCATTAAATGCTTCTCTGTGCAGAAAAAAAAGTGATAGTAATAAATGAAACTCGACAGATTTTAATTTTTTTTTTTTTGCACAAAGACTTTTTTTTCTTTTTTCTCCTTTTTTTTTTTTTTTTATCCCCCCTCCGTCCGGTCGTTTTGATTTTCTCCTTTGTTTTTTGTTTTTTTTTTTTTTCCCCCCTGCCATTTGGTTTTCGGTTTAAGTTATTCCAAGGCGGTGGCTTAAAGATGCAATTGCATGTGGGAGAGGGGGGGGTGGGTGGCGAGGGCGGCGGGGCTAGGTGGGGGGGCAAGAGGGGAAGGGTTTGGGCAGCCGAGATGGGGTGCGGGGGGCGCAGCTTCTTAGCACTTGTCGCTTCCTCGGTTGGTTCGCTGAGCCACGTCGAATGCTGGCCCCGGCACATCACGCCCTGCCCTGCCCCTCGCCTCCGCCGTGCCGGTAGTGCCCGTAGTGGGCATCTGCCAGCTGTGCCGCAGCGGCGCGCGCCGAGCCGATGGTGTTTGGAGCGGCGAGGCTGGTGGCGACGGCCGCCTCGAAGGTGAGCGTCTCCTCCTCACCGCAGTCTGAGGCGTGCGAGTCGTCGTGCAGGGCCAGGTAGGGCTCCGAGATGTAGCGCTGCGGGGTGGACTGCCGGCTCTGCTTCCCCGCCGGGGAGCTGGAAGACTCGGTCAGGCCGGCCGTGTTGGGATCCAGGGTGGAGGAGAGGAGCGGGGAGCCCCCCTCGCTCTCCTCGGCGGGCGGCGAGGCGTCCCCGGCGTGCCGGAGCATGGAGGCGTAGGACAGGAGGGGACGCGGCTTGGGGGGCAACGCGCGGGAAGCTGGCGGCGCCTCGCCGGGGGGTGCTGGTGTCCGAGATGGAGGGGATGGAGCTTTCGCTCAGGGAGCCCATTCCCTGCAACGCACCGAGACGCGCCGGGGAATACAGAGGATACAGAGGCAACAGGCAGCACCGTGCACACATTTCCCCCCACACCACCCCCCCCGAGCCTGGGCTTCCCGTATAATCCTCCCTCTCGGATGGGGGCCCCCGCTGTGCCTTTGCCTGCCCCATCCCTGCCTCGGGATCTGCTCCAGGGATGAGGATGACGCCTGCTGAGGGCAAACCTCATCGGGGGTCTGCAGCTTCCTCACAAGGGGCAGGCACCAATCTCTGACCAGAGACAGGACCGGAGGGAACAGCTTTAAGGTGTGTCAGGGGAGATTTAGGTTGGGTATTAGGAAATGGTTCTTCCCCAAGAAGGTGGCTGGACACTGGAATAGGCTCCCCAAGGAAGTGCTCACAGTACCAAGCCTGACAGAGCTCAAGAAGCATTTGGACAATGCTCTCAGCACATGGTGGGACTCCATGGCCAGGAGTTGGACTCAATGATCCTTGTGGGTCCCTTCCAACTCAGGATATTCTATGATTCTATGCTCTTGGTGGTTAAAAGCAAAAAGCACCCACAGACCCACTGCAGGAAGAGCTGACGGCTCGCCAGCTGCTGCATCTCTGTGGGCTTCAAGCTGACTCAAGCACTGGCAGCTCCAGGCTTGTGTAGCTGGGACACCTTGACCTTGGCAGGGAGCGGATGCCATAGCAGTGAGAGGACCAGTGTGAGATCCACCCCTCTTCCCAAATGCTCTGCAGGGTGCCCGAGCAGCCCCAACCTGCTCAGCTCACAGGGGACACGGAGATGCCACCACGAGGAGGACAGACAGTGCAGAGCTCCCACAGTGAAGGGCTTGTCTTCCCAGTTTTGGCTAGGAGCTTTTTTTTATGCTTCCCTTTGTGCTTAGGGATGGGTTTTGTCACTCACCTGCCTGCTGGGCGTCTGTGACCTGCCCTCGCTGGGTGACCGGGACTCGCGCCGCCGCTCTGGCGACTCGTCCTGTGCCTGGGGACTCCTCTCCTCGGAGTTGCAGCGGGAGATGTCGGGGGACAGCAAGTGCTTGCGCTCTTTGGATCGGCCCCGCTCCCTGCCCGAGCGGTGCCCCTCGGACCGGTGGCCTGCGGGACATCCACATCAGTCCACACCATCCCCTTTGCAGGAGCAGGGAACGCTCACGCTGGAGGTTTCTTTGGGGATCTGGTGTGGAATGGGGCCACCTGCCCTTGCTCACCCGAGTCAGCGTTGAGGCGCCGGGCGGACAGCTGGAGCGAGGAGTGGTAGCTGCGCCGGCGGGACTTGTAGGTGTTCTCGCTGCTGCGTTCCATGGAGAACTCATCCAGCCAGGAGCTGTTGGGGCGCTTGTCCCGGATGGTGGAAAACGATCGCCGCATCGAGCTGGTGTCTGTCACCACCTGCAAGCAACCCCGGCCAGCCGGGGAGGGGATTAGCACCAAGCAGGGCTGGGGACCATGGCGGCCAGGAATTACCAGCTCACCCCCATCACTGGAATCACCGGCCCTGCAGGATGGGGAGATTTAGGGTGGGGAGCAGCCAGCCCGAGCATGGCCCCTCCAAATGATCTCTGCACAAATCAGGGGGGGGCAGGAAAGTGGGGTTCAGCCTTGGTGCTCGTGGGCTCCCCTTCCCCAGCCGGCTGGACCCGTTCTGCACAAGCCAAGCCGGCTGCCCCAATTCAAGCCAAGGTGCTGAGTGCTGGGGGGGGAAGGTGGTCAGCAGCATCTCCCCCAGGCATGGTGACGTGGAGGGTACCAGACCATTTTCCCCAAGGCTGTCTCAGCATCCCTCCCCGCCTGGAAAACAGGGTCAAGTGGAGCAAACATTGAAGAAATCATTGACAGAGAGGAGATTGTCCAGTGCCACCAATTTTCCAGACCTCTCCCCACTCTTCCTTTATTCCCACATCCTCATCCCTTTTCCCCTGCACTCATTCCCTCTCTCCCCACTGATGCTGTTGTTTTATCTTCCCTTTCCTTTTCTTTCTCTATCCTCTCCTTCTAGCTTGTGTTCTCACCATCATGGAGGAAACATCACCCCCTTCCATATTTCCTTTGCTTTATTCTAGCAGGTCTTTGCCTCTGCAGCCTCAGGCCATTCTTTATCTCATCTCCTTTCCTCTCACCTTTTTTGCTCCCATCCCCTCCTTCTAATCATCTCCTCTGCTGCTGAATGGTCAAGAAAGCCCATGAGGCTTCCTCGTCACACCACCCCAAAGTGCCAAAATGTGTCACACTGCCACCAACGCCAGGACCCGGTGCCTGCACCAGCACCTCTGGGAGAAAGCAGACCCAGAGATTTCACAGCAACACCAAACCCCATAAAAGCATCATTTTCTTGGTGGAGGCTGAGCACAAGACATAACAACAGAGAAACCGGGCAGACAAACGAGGAGGTGAGATGTGGCCTGAGTTCCTCTGGACAGACCATGAAGAACATGTGTTGGGACAATGGGAAAGGACGGAAAATGCATTTCATCACCTGTGAGATCATCTGACAGCTGGGCTGGGAATCCTTAAACCTCAGCCAGTGCCCGGAACCGGAGGAAAGGAGAGGTGTCCCACTGTGAGGAGACCCTCCCAGCATGGTCCTGCTCCACCACGGACCTCCCCCATGAGCCAGGAGATCGATTCCCCAGGCTGCTCTCTGCTGCCAGTGTCCCCCATGTAGGGGAACAGCAGCTCTCCTACTTGTGCAGCACCCCAGAGAAGGGGAGATGCTCCAGTATCGAGGTGTGGGGAAGCCACGGGGCTCAGCACAGAGAGAAGCCCCAGTGTTACCTGGCAGGCTTTGAATGGACCCAGCACCCCTGGGGGCTTTGTTTGGTTTTACCTGAGGATCCACAGTGAGACGAGGCATGGAGGAGGCCCTCCCAGAGACAGCGTGGTCCTGAGTGTCCACGGGAAGGTAGCTGCCACGGTTAGAGGGCTGCACTCTTTGAAACTCCCTAACCTCTGGCTCCTGGAAACAAACACACAGCCAAGCTCTTGGGATGGGGTTGGAGCAGGGCAGTGCGCTGCTTCTGCCCTGCTGGCAGGGGACAACCCTGCTTGCTCAACCAGGGGCAGAATTTAAGTGGGCCAAAAATGGGTGGTGAGACACCAGCACAGGTTGTCCAGAAAGGTGTGGATGCCCCATCCCTGGAAACACTCAAAGGCAGGTTGGACAGGGCTCTGAGCAACCTGAGCAAGTTGAACTTGCAGGGGGGTTGGAACTAGGTGAGCTTTAAAAGTCTCTTCCAACCTGAACTATCCTATGATTCTATGAAAAACAGAGTCTAAGACTTTATAATTCATCATCAAAAGATAATCTCCAGTTCACAATCCATTGCAGGTGAACCTTGATGTGGTGCTTCAGGCTTGCCTGATGGCCAGCTCAATTTGTACCTCTTTCAGTGACAGTGGTAACCCTGCCTGGATCTGGTGATGCCTTGACTTCCCACACTTGAACTCCTTCTTTTGCCACGAGGGGACAAATTTATGGGATTTTCTCTCTGACCATGCTTTAAAGGCTTCCTGGACACATCCTCATCAAAAGAACACATGCTGCCTACAGCACACTGCTTTATTCCCAGCTGAGAGGAGCCTTTGTACAGGATAAGGAGACGGGCAGGCAGTTAACTCTGGAGAGATCTGCTAGTAGGTGACTTAATGGGGAGGGGGAGAGTCTCATCTGCCACTTTCCCATGTGGTGGGGGTGGCTGGGGCAGGGGTACACAGCTCACACAGAGTGCTACAGACCCCAGGGACACGGACTGGGCTGGAGATGCACAGTGGTACAACACTGCATCCGACAGCGTCGGGTGGTGCACGAGGGCACACACAGACATGGAGAGATATATATAAATATGTATATATATACACACACAGACAGACAGGCCGGCATGTGTGTGGGGCCGGAGGGGTGTGCTCCCCTTGGAAACAGTCTGACAGCTTGGTTTGGGACTGGGGACACCAGCACTGACAACAAAATGAACATGAACCCGAAAACATCAGATACCATCACTCAGCATGGGGTAACCCACTGAAATGAGCGCTCAGTGGAAAAAAGAGCAGCCTGTGAAGAGAAGGACATTTTACTGGAGGACATCGGACTATGGTCACAGCTCTCACCCCAAAAGCACTTGTTGCTGCCTGACCCCACTGGCCAGGGCTGGTCCAGGGATGGCTGTGTCCCCAGTGCCAGAGGCAAGGGGCAGAGCACACCTGGGGACATTCATCCCGTGCTTTGGATCTGTGTATGACCCAGCAGCTGCCTTCCCTGTGCCGTTCCCACTCCCCACACCTCCCCGTGCCCACCAGCATCCGCGCCGGGACTGCAGGTGAGCGCCAGTCAGGCAGTGGGTGACTTTACCAGAGACTCGTGCTCCTGGAACTGCTCTTGGGCTGGATCCATGCAGGCCAGCTGGAAGATCTCCTGTGGTGAGAGCGGGCTTAGCGAGGGGAACCCACTTCGGCTGCTCCTGCAAAGACAGCCCAGCTTCAGGGAGGCCCCAAGCCAGGTGCTGCCATCGCTGGGAATCACCCCTCCAGTGGCTCAGAGCTGGGGAGCCCCCATGCTTGCCACCCAGGCTGTCAAGACCCCCAGGACAAACATCACGTTCTGTGGAGGGCTGGAGTGGTGCCAAGGCAGGAGAGGACACCAGTGCCTCGGGTCCCCCAGCAGCAGTGTGGACATACCAAGCTCAGTGCCAGCAATTCCCATCATCTCATTCCCACCAGCCTGGGCGCTGGGATGCCCCACTGACCCTGCACCATCCAGGGACTCACTGCTCAACTGCTCCCAGGGTTCAGGTCCATCCCAGACCCTCCTAGGTAGAAGTGCTGGCACTTGGTGCTGGGATGGTCCTGCAGCAAGAATGTCCATGCAGACCCTCGGCCATCCCTCTTTGCCACCTCTGCTGCTGTTGGTGATGCTGAGGTACACTGTCTACCTGGAATCCTGCAAAAGCTTTGTGCCCAGGACTGGGTTTTCCCTGCTCCCAGCAGCAATTTAACCCTCTGTGCATCCCAGTGCCAGCTCCAAGAACAAAACAAGCGCTGCAGGAACAGAAAAGAGCCAGAACTACCTCTCTTCTCAGGGCAGTACTCACAGGCCTGAGAGGGTGTCCTGCTGGAGGTATGGTAGAGCCTTTGCGTTGGAGATGATTTCCTGCGGCAAGGAGGATGGCTCCATGCGCTGGAACATGGGGGCATTTTTCTGTATTGAAGAGAGGAAGAGACTGAGCCTGTGGGAAAGGTAAATGGACATCCAGCACTTCACCAGCCAAGCTCCCACCACTTGGGAAGGGGACATCATGCTGTGAGGGACCGAGGATACCAAGGCACATACACGTGCCCTGTAGTCGCCAAACCCCAACCTGTACCACCATCTTCATCCCCCAGCTGCATCCCACGCAGCTTGGCTGGGAGGTGGTGGGAAGCAGCAAGAGGGATCTGCCCACCTCATGCCCTCACCGAGCCTCACCTGCTCCTCCAGCTGCTGCCGCTGCTTCTTCGCTTTGCTCTGCTTGTAGTAATCCATGATCATCATGGCTGCATATATTTTCCCAACAGTCAGGTCAGAGGCTGAGAGCATAACAGGGAACAAAGTGGGAATGCTTGTGTTGTAACAGAAACAGCAGGTTTGAAGGCATCAGCGTGGACCTCAGGAAGAGCCCTGCTGTGGGATACCCTGGTGACCCTCAGACTCTGCTCGCTGCTCCAAAAGAGAGAGCGCTGAACACCCAGACACTCCTCATAGAGATAAAATGAATGCAGATGGCTTGAAATCATCACCCTAAGCCACCAAGGCACACACCCCCATCACGTCATCAGATGTAACAGCACAAGTGATGCGCATCCTCCCTCCCTGATATGCTCCAGAGATGATTTACAGGACATTCTGGGTTTGGCAGGAGTAGATCCCTGCAAACTGGGTGATTTTTCAAGAGAGCTCCCAAGCAGCCAAGCAGATCAAGGCAGAAGCCAGCCTGTAGCAACGAACCCTTTCCCTACTTCTCCCCTAGCTGGGGATGGGTCTGAACAGTCCCCACCTCCCTTTGGGAAGAAGTTGCTGTGAGGATGATGGGAATTTGAAAGCAGTGACAGCCCCCCCAGAGACTCACTTTTTGGCATGGGTACCAACAGGTCAAGCATCTTCTGGGACAGGTGAGGCCAAATGGTCAGGATCTCCTTTTGAAGCTCAGAGTCCAACTGCTGCCAATCTGCACCACCTAGAACAATGGGGCGGGGGGGGGAAATGGCCCACACACATCAAGACGTGGCACCAGGGTCCAACTAATCCCCCCTCTCCCAGCCTGAAGGGAGGCTCACAAGCAGCAACCAGCTCTCTGGGCTGGGAGGGCCATCTTGCATCAGCAAGCCTGGTCTCCTGCTCTCACAGGGAAACTTTCCTACCATCCCTTCCATATGTGCCTCCATCTCCCCATCCCCTGCCCTCCCACTCAAAGCTGCCACCTTCAAGCTTGCCTTGGGTCCGTCTCTGCAGCTCCAATCCTACTCCTGCCCACACACACCTGCTGCTGCCCCACTTTCCTGGTGAGTGGATCATGTGCTGGTGAAAGAGCAGCTCCACTTGGTAAATCTTTAAATGCTTAGTGAGGCTGTGCATGGAGAGCAGAGCTCTCTGGCCAGTGGTGAAGGGGGTTGCTGAGCTTAGGAAGACCCAGGCTCATCAGGAGCTGTCGACACAGATCAACCAGAGATACTCAAGCCCAGGGCAACTCGAGTGAGCTGCAGGAGACCAAGGTTCAAACCTCTGCTTTATCTCGAGGGGCTTGAACCCATCATTTCAACATTCAAGGAGTTGTCTGAGGACTGGGCTTTGGCTGATATCTTGCCCTGGGTTGGGTTTTCTTCCAATAGCTGAGCTGTTCCCAGGAGATGTGTTATTGAAAATGCCATGTTTCTGCAGGAAGTTTTTGATCTGATGAATCACAGCCTTTCCAGTAACAACAACAAAGAAGGTTTTCCTGCTCTGAACGTTTTATCTTCCCTGAGAGAGAGATTTCTTTCCCCACAGCCTTCGGAAGCCAAGGACATTTCCCCCCCCCTTGGTTTTGTTTTGCACATGGGGAGGGAGGAAGGGGAATTCTCTATCTCCTCCATTACAAAGTGGACATCAAGCTGGTTTTACCCTCTAGAAACAGCTTCAAGCGAAAAATTGGCCACCTCTTCCCTAAAGAAATACATTTTTTTTAGAGATAGTGGCAAAAATTTGCCCGTTCAAGGTAATTGCTGCCATCCACATGCCAGGTCGCCCAGAGAAGCTGTGGATGCCCCATCCCTGGAAGCACTCAAGGCCAGGTTGGATGAGACTTGGAGCAACTGGTCTAGTGGAAGGTATCAGGGGTCGGAACAAGACGATCTTTAAGGATCCTTCCAACACAAACCACTGTGACAGGACGACAGTCACGCTGCAGCCCCTCCTGGCTCTGTCCCCTCTCTCTGCCACCGACGTTACCTTTGGCAATTTTGATGTCCAAGGCCGTGCGTATCAGCGCCATCAAGGTGGAGGTGAAATGGACCGTCATGTCCTCGGCCACGGGCATGTTCATCAGCACCAGTCTCTGCGCAAGAGAGAGAAGAAAACAGCGGACGGAAAACAATATCGAAAAACACATCGACCAGGCTGGAGGAAAAGAAATTAAACATTAAACAAAAGGGAAAGAAAAAAATAAAAATTAAAAAAATAAAAAATAAAAAGCAACAAAGAGTGTCAAAACAGCACAGCCAAAAAAGAAGGGCAAGGATCACCCCCCCCCAACCCACCCACCCACCCACCCCCGGCTCCTTCCACCCCAGGACACCGGCTCACTGCCTTCCAGGGCTCCTCCTGCACCCCAGGAACGGCCCCTGAGCCCCCCTCCCCATGGCACCGGGGCTGCCACAGCACCTCCCGGCACTTTTGGGAAGACACACCTGATCCATCAGGGATGCAGGCATGTGGGATGTGCGGGAAGGGGAGAGGGGGCTCAGGTTTCCGTTCCCAGGTGGTTTGGCTTTCCAGCTCTCAACCCTTCCCACCTGGGGCAGGGGAGAGGAGGGTCCCTAACCTTCAGGGACTTCAGATTGGCTGGATTCCTCTAGCATGCTACATCCTGGCGCTCCCTTTTTGCGTCTTTCAGAGATGAAGTTTGCCAGCACATGCAGGGGGTCCAAATTATCCAGGGGTGGGGAAGGGAAGGGAAGGGAGGGTAGAAAAAGTGCAGAAGGAAAGAGAAAAGGGCAACCAAGGCAGGTTAGACACGCCATGCTCCTTCCCCACCCTGGGCAGGCGGGGTGCAAACCGAAGTGACCAGATCCACTTTCCCGAGAGTATATTTTGCTTTGTGAATACCTTGGGTCATCCCTTCCCTGCCCATTTCTTTTCTTTTTCGCATGGATTCTCATGTCCTTTCCCTGTCTTCAAGCCTCCCCTTTTTCTCCTGGAAAAGTGTGATGGTGGATGTATGCTTGTGTGAACAAACAAATGAGAGCTGGAGAGGGTGGAAGCGTGTTTGGAGTTGTGCAGGAATCCCCTTGCGCTAGCCCTGAACACTGCTGAAAGGGCTGTGGGCAGCAGCCCATGGCCAACAAAAGCTTCCATTTGCTCCACACCTGGACAACAAATCACTCCAAAGCTCTTGGTCTTGTCCTGGCAGATAATGCCCTCAGCAAAGCCATGCAGCTCCCACCCCACGTCCTTCAGGGCTTCCTGTGCTCCCGCCTCATGCCTGCACAGCTGGGAACACGCTGTGCCGGTGCCAGGAGCTGATTGAGAGCCACCACCCCAGGGGGGAAAACTCAGAGGCACCTTTGGAAGGCACCTGGCTTTGCCTTGCACAAGCCATCCTTGGGATAGCCCGTGCCAGTGCACCTGGCTCCTCACACACAGCAGAGCTGCTTCTATGGGGTTTGTCCTTGCTGCACCCCTGCCTCCCATCTCCATGGGCTTTCTGTGCTGGCTGGGATGAGGGTGGTTCCAAACCCCGGGGATGAGCTCAGTTCAGCGAGCTCCTAAGGACATCTCGCTCTCCTAACTGTACTACAGGGCTGCTCCTCACCTCACCCTCTGCAACCCTCCCACTTCCACACTACTGCTCATCCTGCCCCTCCTCTTCCACTGGGGTCTTCCATCCCCGGGGCTCTGAGTGACCACGGCAGTGCCACGTGCGTGGGCAGTGGAGAGCAGCCAACGTGGCCAGGGCTCTTCTGAGCACACCAGGCTCCCCAGGGGCAAGCTAAACACATGTTGGACTCCCCAGCACCTCCCCGGCTCCCCCAGTCCCACCTCCCGCAGGTCCCTTGAGCCCCAGCTCCTGCTCAGCTCTGACCCCCGTAGAAGGAAGGGTTGATCTACCTTATAGGCCACTTTGGAAGGACATCTCTTGCCGAGGCCTAGCGGTGGTGACATAAGAGTCAGCATTTCATACATCTCAGTGTAATGGATTCGGCCACTGCTCATGGAGGGGGAAGGGGAGGGAGGGAGATGCAGAGAGAGAGGAGGCATTCCCAGAGAGCAGAAAAACGTACAAACGAAAAATAGTACAGGAAAACAGGAGAGAAAAAAAAAAACAAACGGACAAACAGGAAAAGAACAGGAAACCCGTTAATCAAGGCAAATCATACATGAGAGACTGTCCTGATGTGGATTTATAGCACTGCTCACACAGACCCAGGAATGCTGGCAGAAAGCAACTCACCCCTCTCCTCTCTGCTGCTGGCCTCAAGTACCTGTCTCGCTACCATGCTGGGGCTCCTCCTCTGGTCTCAAACCCTTTCCTAAAGCCCTCCAGCAGCCCCCACCTCGTCCCACAGGTTCCAGGGCTGTGTGCGAGTGGTATAAATCAGATACACGGCACTCGAGCCATGGGTTATTTGAGGTCTCGGTGGTTTGCACCGCAGTGCTCTGTGGCCTCCGTAGCGTCTTCCCTCCCGGGGGGGGGGGCCTGGGTATTGCTCTGCGTGGCCACCTAACCCATAGCCGGAAGGCTGTGTATCCCCAGCTCGTGGGGTCTATGCAATTGGGAGGCAGCATCTTGCATAGAAGGCAGTGGGCCAGGGTCACTTGTCAAAGGAAGATGCCCAGTTGCTTCCGTCTGGCTCTGCGGATGGACCACTTTCCCACCATGCACCAGTGCAAAAGGCATGCTGAAGTCGGCTGAAAAAACAAAACCGGGAGGAAAAGTTGTACATGCCATGCTCCCGCCCTGGCTCTCTCCCACATGCGGCTGCAAGTTCCACCAGGTTGGAGTTTAAAGAGTCTCAGCAGAGGCAGCTGTTTGGGCCTTCCAACATCGGGGTTCGTTTGGGTTTCCCAAGGGAGGCGGGTATGGCAGGCCCCCACCTCGCACTCCTCTGCTCCATGAGGACCTGCCTAGGACTGCTGCAGTGAGGAATGCTACTAACAACAGGCCACCTGGTGATGCCTTGAGCCCTCTGCCAGGCTGAGATATTTGGGCTGTGTCTCCCTCTCTCTGCACATCCACATTTCCCAGGGATCCTGGGCTCGGCCACCTCTTCTTCCCCTTGTGCCAGGCTTCTGTCCTGCACTGCAAGGTTCAGGATGCTTAATGGGCAGGGGCAACCTCACAGTGACAAAGGCATGAACCCTTCCAGGTGGGCTGGGAGGATGTTGCTGGAGAGGAGCCCACCTCAGCCGGGGTGGCCTGGGAGAAAAATTAAGCACCTCCACAGGATCTTTGCTTCTTCCCTAGAACGTGCTCAGAGCAGTGTGGAAGAGGGAGAAGATATCTCCTCTTCTCAGGGAGTACCTGTGGTCTGGAAGCAGACTCCTGGCCAAAGAGGCCCCACCAAGATAAGTTCTGACAGTTCAAATGTGAACCAGAGATGGTGATGTCCCTCAACAGGAGCTGCTTGAGGTACAAGCATAGAACAGGCTGGGCCATCCCCTTTGATCCCTAACATACCTAAGTGGGTGGAAAAGAGGATTGATAACAACACTGCAGAACATTAAGTGGGATGATCAAGAGGAAATATCCAGATCCAGGAGTCTGTAAGCAGCGCCTTGGCAGAGCTGGATATGCACTGACTCAAGGTGTCTGAAAATGAGATGACTTGGAAATTTTCGTGCATTAATTTAGTGCTAAAAGGAAGCAAGACAGTGATCTTCCACCCACCCTTCCTGGTAGGGGGGATTTTAGGGTACCCAGCACATGACAGGCACTGTCTTTCATACTGAGGTTCTCTGCACAACGAAGGAGGAATAGATTCCTGTGACAGGAGTTTTGCATCAGTGACCAAGAAGGACTGCACGAGAACTGCACTTTGCTGCTCCTCACAGCAGACACTTTAAAGCTTTCTGAGCAGCACAGCTGTACCCAGAAACTACTTCCCCACGGAGTGAAGCACTGGCAGGCACATGGAATGACATCCATCTGAACAGGAAGGCTCCAAACAGCTGATCCAAGCACAGGAACATCCTTGATGTGAGAGCTGACCCATCTATCCATGTCTGGACGGAGATGTGACCCATGGATACAGCACAAGGTGGCCTGTAAAACCAGCAGGGACTAATGGCTTAGTCCTGGTCCTCAGAGAACCCTGTGAGTGATAGAGGAGGAAATCCGGGGGACCTCTCTCCTCCTGTGGTTAGGAAATAAGTACTGTGCCATAGCAGGCTGTTAGGAAAAGCAAGGGATGTGAGAGTAGATTCGGGAATAGGTGAGGTCCACAGGGACATCATCTGTGGAGCATTCTCCCAGCAGGCAGGGCAGGCTCACTGAACTGAAAGGAGTGCAAGTTGGGTTGGCATTTTGGGATCTGACAAGATGCAACAACCACGTGGGTTTTCTTTCATCAGTTGCCTTTTGGGAATTGTTCCAGGGCAGTCAGAATCCCTGGAAAGCTCTTGTGTCCTTGAAATACTTCAAGCACAGTGAGGAGGAGACCAAGGTAACACAAGGAAGAGATGAGGATGGTCTCCCTCACATGACAACAGAAGCTGTTCTCAGTACCCTTGGCTTCCACCTCACCTTGAGTTTATCCACCTGCACTGTTCTGCCCATCCACAGTTAGCAGAAATCCCAGATTGCTCCAGAGCTCCCTCTTCCTAGGAAGCATTACAGGTACCCCTTTAAGCACCAGGTGATCCAGCTCAGGAGAGTAGTGTCTGCCAGTGGAGCCCTGTTGATAACAAGAAAGACTAACAACTCCTCCCAAAGGTGTCTTCTGTCTGCAGGGACCTGGGCAAGTGTCCTCAGCAAAGGTGCCATCCTTTGCCAGGGATGCAACAGACAAGAGTGGAAAGACTTCAAGGAGCTCTTCCTGGAGCAGATGAGCCATCTGAGATTCTTGCAAGAAATTTCCTGTCCCTAAATACCTCTTTCTAACAACTGAGCATCCAGGCCTTGCCTTGCTTGCTCTGCTTTGCCTCTTTGGTGGTGCATCATCCCCACATCCAGATGTTGAGGGTGACAGACCTGTTCCAAGGATGCTGAGTGAAAGAAGCTTTTCTGATGTTTCAAGAAGGATGTGGCAACTACACTACGCTGCACCAAGGAATCCTCTTCTTCTGCAGAGCCAAGATCAAAGGCCAGAGGCATCTGAGCTTCCCTCGCACATCTCAGATGCTATGAGGGATGCAGAAGGAAGAGCAAGTTCTACGATTCATTCTTTCATGCCATGGCATAGGTCATGGCACTTCAGGGAAAGTGGCAGGTACAGGATTTTGCTCAGCTGCCATCCCAAAGTAAAATTAAAAAAAAAAGGTGCAAATCAGTGAGACACATGGAGACCAAAACACTGCTGTGGACTCATGGCCAGCAGCTGGGAGCTTGGCTCCAGATAAGGGAGAGGAGCTGTTTAGCTCCAGAGATGTGCCCTGGTGTCACCACCTCCCAGGCAGATCCAGCAACCCGTGGGCAAGACTAGCAAAAGCCCTGCTCCCCAGACACATGGTTGGTTGTCCTCCAAAGTGCCACACTTGAGAAAGGGTCTGTTGGGTCCAGCACAGCATCCCCCAGGGAGAGGGGTCACCCTGGCCTCTCCATCCTCCCCCCAGCCCTCACTCCCCAAAACAACAGCGAAGTCCCCAACATCCTCCCCAGGAGCAAACCACATCTAAGCCCCGCAAAAAAACTCCCTGTCCCGTGTACTTTGAGGTACTTTGAGAAGCCGAGCAGGGATGGTGGCATTTGGCCTGGCACCCTTCCTTCAGGGCTCTCTGCGCCGGTGGAACTGGGGTGGGGGGCTGGCTGGGGGACTCAAATTGTCAAAACCCACCCCAGGAGGCTCTGAGCCCCCCTCGGCCCTGCTCATGCCTCCCCTCGAGGGGAACAGCTGCTGGCTCTGGGAGGCAGTGGACCTCTTTAAACTCGAAGGAAAGCAACGTCAGGGTTCCCTGGGGAGGCGCGGTGGCGGTGGAGCGGGGGGGAAGGAGGGGTGGATGGTGCGTCCCGTGGCCAGGTTGTGGCGGAGGACTGGGAGGCAAACCTTGCACGCCACCCTGTAGGGGCAGTTCTCTCCTAGGCCCAGAGGAGGCGAGATCACCCGTACTAATTTGTACATATCCTTATACGAGATCCTGCCGCTGCAAAGGAAGCACAGGTGGGTTAATAGGACACTGAGAGGGAGGAGGGGAGGATGGAGAGCTTAACCGGGGGATGCTGGGGCCATCTGTGGGGCAAGACCCCCAGGAGCACACGGCTCTTATCCTTCTGGCTCTGTCAGACCCAGAGAGGGGAAAGCTGTGAGCATCAGCTACTGTCTTCTCTACCATGAGAGTCAGCTCATATCTCCTCACACTGTCCCATCTTCACCCTGGAGAAGGACAGTTCTGGTGGTGAACACCACTCCATCACCCTTCCTCATCGTGCCCCTGACCCCTACGCTTGGTGGGAGAGGGCTGGGATTTTAGACAGGATGAGCCTGCAGCTTGGCTGGGTCCTCGCCACCACAAGCCCTTCTGATGGAGTTGTGTCCCATCACATCAGCAGAGACCCTGCCCTCACACAGCCAACTCTCTGGGCCTCACAAGGTCCCAGGGAAGTTGGCAGCTGAGCCACTTGACTCCAATATCTGGGGAACCTGAGATGGGGAGAGATAATGTGACCAGCTGGTGGCTGTGGCACTAGCACCTGGGTCTCTCACGGTCCAGTACTGTGCTCCGACCACCAGACCATGCTCTGCCAAGGGTACACATTATTAGAAGCAAACCTTCCCCTGCACACCCCCCTTCTTGCCCACAGAAGCACATCTCCCCAGACCCGGTGCAGTTGTCGCAGGACACGGCCTGTATCCTCCCTGCACCGCTGAAATATCGAAGCAGCTGTGGCAGAGAGCTGGCAGGAGAGGGTGCAGGGGCCGTTGGATGCTGAGCCTCCCACTCTACTCCAGACCAGAGCCCTTTGGGAAGCAGGACCCTGTGGGGTGGAAGTGCTGAGGTGCAGCGTGCTGCAGCCTCCCGGGCATCCTTGGACAAGCTTGGAGGGAAACCACGTGAGGAGGCAAAGAACAGCATTACCGCCCTACCCAGCGCCTTCGCCTCTGGGTTTCTCCTTGCTCGTCTCCCATCCCCTCCCCATTGCATGGAGAACCCAACCAGAACCCAACCATCTGGACGAAATTCATCCCTGAGCCCCCCTGGAGTTGGGTGTTCCCCCCATGAGACCTTCGTGGGATGGTCCCGGTGTCAGGAAGCAGAAGTGCTGCCCCACTCAGGCACTGGGACCCGTTTGGATGTACTCACCCGTTCCTCACCCAGCACTGGAGGCCAGGGCTGCCCCGGCAGGCCCTGCACCACCAGCTCCTGTGCATGTCCCCTAACCACTGGCTACATACTATGACAAAAGAGCACAGCTTGCTCAGAAATCAGAGGGGCACATGGCTCAGACAGAACAGCCCAGACATGCTTTTACTGTGACTCTCCTGGAGAATGAGGCCACAAACATGGGGGGCAGAAGTGAATGAAGTGCCTGGTGTGAAGAAACCCTTCCCAAGAGTCATGGTGAGACGCCCCACCCTGAGCAGCTGGGTGTTTCACTGCTCTCACCTGCTCTCCTTTCTCTAGGTGCAGCTGATATTAGGCATAAAAAAAATATCTTGGCTGTGGCTGGTGTTTTGAGGGGCAGGACATTAATAAAGAGTCTCCAAAGGGAGCACGTGTGTTTGCCAAGGGCTCTCCAGCTAAGATCACCCACGCTCTGCAGCAGCAGTGGTAGGTCATGGCTCCAAAGAGACTGTCCCTGGGCTGAGGGGGGAAGGAAGGGGCCACATAAGGCACCCCTGTGGTGTGTTGGGGCTGAGTGAAGGGCAAACATGCTCCCAGAGCTGCCAAGGGCTCCCCATTGCACTAGGGATGCTTGAGACCACCCTAGGAGGAGGAGGAGTGGACAGCAAGTCCCCTGTAGTAGCAGCAGCAAGAGCAGAGCCAAAGTCTGGCCACCCACGGTATGTACAGCCACTGTGAGCCCATCCTGTTGCTGGGAACAGGCTGCTGCCTGCAAACAGGAGCCCTGCTCACCGGGTTCCTCATCAGCAAGGGCAGAAATGCAGGAAACAAAGTCCTCCCATCCCTAGAGGGGTGGGCTGGCCAGCATGGGAACACACTTCCCCAAACAAGGTCCTCCCCAGGTGGCTTGGCAGGAGCTCAGCAGACCCCCAGCATCTCTCCATGGCTGGGAACAATCCCTGCTTGGCCCTGCTCTGATGTGGAGCTGTGGGTGCTGGGGACCAAGGGATGGAGCCAATCTCAGGGCAGAGGCACCCAGATGGTGCACAGGGAAAGGGAAGGAGGCTGAGAGGGATCTGCCCACTTGGGTAGGGAGGAGAGGAAGAGCAGGAACCTCCAGCTCTCAGGATAAACACCATGGCAAACCATGAACATCACCCAAGATGCCTGTGGCACCAGCCATTGTAGGAACCACCTTCTGCCCTTGGGTGACAGCAGACCACCCCTGACCATCCCAGGCATCACTGATAGTTCCAGTAGTAGAACACAGAGACTCTTATTTAAAACCAGCTCTGAGAGGTTGCTCAGGAGAGAAGGAGCTGGCTACATACCACGCTGCTCTGTCATACTCTGCCCAGATCCGGACAAACTCATCTAGATGGTGAGGTCCCAGGATGGAGGAATCTCTTGTCAGGTACTCAAAATTGTCCATGATGACTGCCACGAACAGGTTGAGCATCTAAATGGAAGGGAAAAAAGCAGAGAGAAAGGAAAGTGGGGGGAGAGGGAGCAAAGAAGGGAAGGGAGAGAGAAGGAAGAGTGATTGTGGGAAGATGATGGAGATGACCCTGTGGCTGGGGTGCTGATGAGGGGGATCCCCAAGGCTCTTGGGGGAAGATACTAACCAGGAAGGAGCAGAAGAAGATGAAGGAGACGAAGTAAACGTAGGCCAGGTCGGTTCCACAGCGCTCATTCTCGCTCTGCCCAGATGTTGCCGTCGTGTCTGGCTCGCAGCCTTTGCCCTCCAGGCAGGACAGCATGATCTCCTGCCATGCCTCTCCTGTGGCACTCCTGTGCCCAACACAGCCATTCTCAGCAGCTCATGGTGGCACCGGATGGAGTCGGGGCAGGATGCCCCTGGGAGAAATCTCACAACCCCCTGCCCAAATTAAACACCTCTGGCGTGTTCCATGGCTGCTTACCTGAAGAGGAGCATGAGGGAGCCCAGGAAGCTGCGGAAGTTGTTGTGTCGGTTGATGTGGCTTTCCTCATCTAGTTTGATATTGCCAAAAACCTACAGGAGGGAGAAAAATAGCTCAGCTCTTCAGGCAAGAACTCTTCTGCCAGGGAAGCAGCTTCACATTCACATTCCCATGCCTGAAAACATTCAGGGCCAAGATGGACAGGGCTCTAACCTAGCTGAAGATGTCATTGCCATGGGATTGGACAAGATGACCTTTACAGTCCCTTCCAACCCAAACCATCTAAGACTCTGATTCTACAAAAAGCACCCCAGCAAACACAGGCTGGTGCACAGCCAGCGCACCAAGGAGCTGGAGCCAAGCAGCCATTGGGGAAGGACTCTCCTCTCCTTGGCAGGGATTTACAGTGGGTGGCAAAGGCTGCGAGAGGCTGAGCTACCATGGAAACAGGAGCACAGAGGACCTGGGATCAACCGAGTCCAACCGCTCCGCATCCACCCCTCTGCTGCACTACAAGTGGCCCCTGAGCACGGCACAGCACCCGGCACTTCTGAGCGCACCGGAGGGGCAGGGACAAAGTCCCACCGCTGCGGGCAGGGGCTGGGTCGTGGTCCTGGGAACTCCCAGGAGCTTTTCCCTCAGTGGACAAATGGTCTGTGACGCTGGAGTCAGGCACAGCAGTGCAAACAAGGCAGGGAAGGGCTCAGGGAGGGTGGGACAGACAGACTGCTAAGCCGCCACGGACAGCCAGATACTTGGCACTACCATTCCCAGGGCCAAGAGAGGCAACAAAGCCACAAACATGGACAGTACTGTAATAATGACCCACAGCCAAGGCCATGGAAAGACATAACGAACATTCATAAAGTGCCTCAAACAGGAAAACTGTGCTGTTATTACTGTTAAATATTTATTCCCCTTTCCCTGAACCTAAAAATACACTAGCTGCAGAGTATTTTTTCCCTGTACAGGTTTTTTGGAATGTGTAATTGTAGAATATTTTCTGCCTCCAGCTATTTTGCTCAAATAACGCCCACAGACTTTACTGCTTGGGGATTTGTTCACAATGGTGTTAAGAAAAAAAAATAAAATAAATCAAATACTACCACATGGCGGGGGGGGGGGGGAGCTGAGTCAGATGGCGGCTGTTTAGCACGGAGAACACCTGGAGCTGGTGCCGAGATGTGTAGGGCAGAGCAGCAAAAACCAGCCACGGGACTCTCGGGGCGGGAGAGAGGGGGTGGAAGATCCTAAACACCAGCGCTGCCAAAAATCTGCCTGTCCTGGCAGCGCATGTCAGGCATTAGGTACTGCAGCAGCTCATCAGGCAGCTCCACAACCCAAGTGTTCGTCGTCAAAGGTGCTTTGTCAGATCCTCAGCGTGGGATTTAGTCACCGCAGAAGTGAGGCGGCCCCGCGGCACGTGCAGAGCTGAGCACTTTAGCTCACGTGCTTCTTATTTACCAGTTGGAGCCTGGAAAGCTGCTGTCTCCTCATGCTCTGCAGCCCTCCCACTGGTCGGTGGGTCATCACAGGGCTCTAAGCAGGACTGCCCAAGCAGTGGCACAGCTACAACATAAAGCCTTTGCGGAGGGATGAAGTGGACAACTGGGCTGCAGGGATCGCTGCTGTGATCCAGCCGTTCAGATGGGAAAGACAGAAGGCTGCTCACCTGGTCCCTCAGGCACGAAATCAGTCCCTGGGGGCTGTCTAGTTAGAGATTTAGTAGTTGCTAAACAAAGAGGTGGGGATTTGCCAGCAGCCACTACACAGGATGCCTAACTGAGTCTGCAAGGCCACATGTTTAAAGGTCCAAGTTGGGAAGGCAGCTGCAGAGCAAGACTGAACAAGCCCATGGCAGTTTCCCCAGGGCACGTGGCTCTGCAGCTCCCAAACAAGCTGTTCCACCCTCAGGACCTTCTCAGACACCGTGACCAAGTGAGGCAATGACAGGCAGGCACAAGGCTTGCTCCTGTGTGTACTGCTGAGGACATGCCGGTGCAGGCTGTCCATGCCAGAGGGATGTCTGTGCTCACCTGCATCCCAATGATGGCATAGATGAAGAAAAGCATGGCGATCAGGAGGCAGACATAGGGGAGCGCCTGCAAGAGAAGCAGATGAGTCATCCCATCATTTATCACAGGTCCAGCTCCAGAGGAGTACACAAAGCACAGTGGGCAGGTAAGCTGTGCCCATCCATCTCTCCTACGAGCCAACAAGACCTTGGGAACAGCCTGCACTTGGGAGCAGCACCACATCACTGTGGCCTGGGTGGAGATCACGGCACGTGAGCCTTACCTTGAAGGACTGCACAAATGTCCAGAGGAGGATGCGGATGGTGTAACCCTGGCGGAGCAGCTTGATCAGCCGAGCAGCCCGGAAAAGCTTCAGGAAGCTCATGTTGAAACTGCTGGTGTTCACCAGCTGGGAGGAGATGAGAGAGTCAGAGGGAGGTGGGAACCCCCAGGGCCAGGCTACACCCTGCTGCTCCCAGCCCCTGCCTCACCTTGGTGTCCGTCAGGATGATCTCCGTAATGCTGCCGATGACGGTGATGAAATCAAAGATGTTCCAGGTGTCCCGGAAATAATTCTGCAAAAGGAAGGAAAGAGGGAACGTGGATTTGAGCTCAGGGATGGCAGGTCTGAAAGGCACTGGGCCACAGGCCAAAGCTGCTCATGGACAACCATGGAGACCTTGCAGCCCATTTGTATGCAGCCAGGGTCCGGAATACCGTCCTTTGTCTGAGACAGTGGCAGACCTGAGCATGTCTGCAGCAAGCAGCTTCTCCTGGGAGATGATTCATACATCCAACAGGCCACCCTAGCAAATGGGAGCAGGAAAAGTAGCCACAGACAGTCTAGGTCAGGCTGTAACAGCTCATCATGCCAGCTCTCACAGCCAGGAGGCTGCTTTGCCCTCCTCTTCATGGGCACCTGGACCCACCTCAGCCCTGCTATTTGTGCAGCAGCTGGTGCAAGACCAAACGTGGCTGGTGAGACTGGGAGCAAGGAGGGTGGCTAGGAACCCTGCTGCTAGTGGACCTTATCTCCCATAAGCAGGAAAGCACAGGTGGAGGCAAGGCAGTCCATGGTTTCAAATCTTAAGTGAGCAGCTGGGGACTTGAGGACAGTGAATCAGGCAGGAAAGTTTCACTGATTCTCAGATCCGATCCAAATGATACAGCCCAAGGGCAGCAGTGCATCTCCTGACCCTCTGGGGACAAGGGACCACAGCCACCAGCACATGCAGCAGCAGCTGGCCTAAACAGAGCCATGGTACAGCACATACATGGTCCAGGCACCAGAGTACAGCAGAAACAAGGCAAGAAGTAAAGCAGCAGTGTGGCTTCACCCAGCAGCATCCATCAGTGGGAAGCGTAAGGAGAACCAAAGGAGCAAATCCACCCCAAAAGCAGCTCTCAGGCCAAGATCCAAAATAAGCAGCAAGAACTCCACATTATTAACATCTTCCCCCTGTGATCTGTGTGCTGCCAAAGTCCAAATTAACACCCTTGTAAAGAACAGGAGCAGCCACTTACCAGGAAGCCAAAAGCGATGATCTTGAGGACGCACTCCAAGGAAAACACCATGGTAAAGGCGATGTTCAGGTACTTCAGGGCCAGCTCATAGGTGTATGGAGCAGAGTAGTACTGATGGAAACAGAGAGACATTGCTAGCCAGGAGGGGGCCTGCCAGCCCTGAATAGGCTGATAGACCTGATGTGGTCATGTTTATTGCTCTGGCTGCATCAAGACTTGCTTTCTTTCTCCACCCAGGACAAATCTGTAGTGGTCCATGTTCCTTGCCCTGGGGGTCTCAAGAACATCTCCTCCTTACTTCTCTACCCCTCTCCCAGGAAAGCTGCCACTCCTTCTAAACAGGAGGCAGACAGTAAATTCAGATCTGTCTCCACTAGTTAAGAGGTCCAGATACTTTGGGTCATCTCACTTAGAAAAGATGTCACCTCCAGTTTGGGGCATGTGGTGTTTCAAGTGCCTTTGCCAAGGGAACGCATGCTCAGACTCTGCCTCAAAGCATCTCCACCACCAAAACACACTCCGGTCTCACCCGGATTGATCCTCCTTCTCCCCACTGCTCCAACCAGGACGGGCTCACTCTGACTGGCTCACCTTCATCATCAGCACCACGGTGTTCAGCGCTATCATGGCCATGATGGTGTACTCGAAGGACGGGGACACCACGAAGTGCCAGACGCGGTACTGGAAGGTGTGTCGGTTCTGGGGCATGTACCGCGTCAGGGGCTTGGCACTGATGGCAAAGTCAATGCAGGCCCTCTGGAACAAAACAACGTGCATCACAACCTGGCTGATGGAGACACGGGGGACAGTGGCTGCCACATTTCTTTCCTTCACGATCTGAGAAGGCACGTGGCCTGCGGGTTTCCTACACCTTTTCAATACCCGGGGAGCTCCAAGTTCCCAAACTGCAAAAAACCCATGGAAGCATCTTCTTCCCCCCTTCCAGACTGTACCTCGTTCTTCTCCAGACTGCACTCCTCCATCATTTTGTCTCCTTGCTCTTGGAACGTAATGATGATGAGAGCCACGAAAATGTTGACGAAGAAGAAAGGGAAGACCACAAAATAGACGACATAAAAAATGGACATCTCCATGCGGTTGCTGCGGCTGGGCCCGCGGTCCTCCTCCGTCACGTCCACCGAGTGCTGCAGCACCCTGTGGGCAGACAGGTGAAGAAAAGCAACCAGAGGTAGGTCCTTCAGGGCTGCCACCACCTGGCACTTCCAATGGGAATCGCTCTGTACAGCCAGCTCTGTCTGTCCCCCCTTGTGCAATGACAAGGTAAAGCTCTGTCCTAATCTGCTTTCAAGACCTTTCTAAGTAGCTACAGCTTGTTTTACGGTGTTTTGACTGTGCCTCTGATGGAAAATGGATTTTCCTGCGGTCTACACACAGAGAATAATACTGCCCAAGCTCACATGACCATGTACAGAGGTCCATTCCTATGGTCATCTCTAATATTGACCTAAAATGTATCGCAGGGCCATAGAGAAGAAAGGATTATCTGTTATCCACTCCTTAAGGAAGAAGCTAACTCCAGCCACGGCCCCAGCCTCATAGGAGAGCTAAAAGCCCTTTTGTCTTGATATAATTTCTCATTGTTCCTCTCCTCCTTCCTGCCCCGCAGTTCCTCTCTCAGTCCCACCCGGGATCCAATGGGGATGTGATCACCCCCATTCAAGGGGACAGACAGAGAAGAATACTCACTGGGGCCAACCCTCGCCAGTGGAGACTGTGAACAGGGTGAGCAAAGCCCAGATGATATTGTCATAGTGAAACTCATGGCGTTTCCATTCCCGGCATTTCACCTCCATCTTGTTCTTCTCATGGTCCACGTAGTTCCCTCTGCAAGGTTGGGAGAGAGCAATGACCTTGTGTTTTACACTGCCAGACTAAAGGATTGGTGGGTGTAAACCCTGAGGGAAGCGTGTGTGTGCAGTGAGGGGCACCTCTCCTCCTGCAGGGATGGAGGGAGAAATGGGGAGAAGTTGGATAACAACCGTGAGGAAGCGGAGAAGGGGAAGGCAAAACAGAAGAGAAAAGGAGGAAAGAGTAGGAGCACAATAAGGGTCTCTGCATCCCATGGAAGGATATACAGTGCTGAGACAGCAATGGGACAGGGCTCATCTCATGTCATCCAACCCAAGAGATACTGACAAGAGCGAGTCATGACCAAGGACTTAACTGGGAACCACAGCAGACATTACCCAGAGGTGTCAAGCAGCATCAACAGGGAACCTACATGCAGTCCTTCTGTGTGTCCTTAGAGCTGTCAGTGCAGTAGAAAAACTTCCCCTTGAAGAGCTGGACAGCAATAACAGCAAAGATGAACATGAAGAGCTTGTAGACAATGAGGATGTTGAAGACGTTCTTGAGGGATGTCACGACGCAGTCAAAGACGGCCTGCAGGAGAGGGCAGAGCTCACCTTGGGGAACCCACAGTCCTGGCAAAGGGCAGGACCAAAACCAAGCTGTCATGTGGAAAGGCATTTCCCACTCCTGGTGGGGAAAGGAGGAAAAAAGCTGGGCCTTCTCCCAGGCAAAAAGCTATTTTATAAAGGAGGTTAACACCAGAGTACCCACAGCACACATGTACGCCCCATGCAGCCCCCAGAGCAGCACCAGGGATGGATGTTTGTATCCTCAGTGTTCTCTGCAACCAAGGTAGCAGACCAGACAGGGGACCATCCTAATGATGCAATTAGCAGCACTCAGGACTAATCAGTAAACACTTTGTTGTTTTGCATCACCCCAAATAACAAGGCAGAGCAAATACCTCTGCCTGCAGCAGCAGCACTTCCCTTAGTGCTCTCAGCCCTAGTTCTCATAGCACTTCATGTGAAAAACATCCATATCCCTGTTACATACATCCATATGCCTGTTACAGGCATTTCCAGAAATGAATTGACATGGGCTGAATCCATCCAGTGATCAGGGAGAAAAGCTGGGGTCAAACCCCATGTTACTGTGTTTCATTCATCAGACAAATAACCACATGTAAATAAAAAACAGGGCTGCCTCGGTCTCTTTCTCCTTTCTGTCTCTATACCCCCCATCAACTAAGGTAAGGAAATCCATAATCCTGCCTGTGCCACAGGAATAATCCCACTACTGAGATGGGAAATATCCCTCCAGTGCAACACCATGGCAGCACAGCACACAAAACCCCAAGCCCTTTGCAAGCTGCTCCGGAGAGAAAGACCATAAACTCTGGAAAGAGATTTGAGCTCTCCAAAACCAGGACAATCTACTTTTCAGGACAGCATCTGGGTTTTGCTGCCTTGCACCCACTCAAGCCCCACTGGCAGAGGAACTACCTCTGACACCTTGCAGAGGTCCGGGCTTGCTTTCAATAACTCATTGCATCTCCAGATATGAAGCAGCCTGAAGGGTGCTGTGGTTGAAAACAGGGCTCCTAAAGCACCCCCAAAGCTTTGAAAACAACTTGTTCGCCACTCACGAGCAAATTGATGTGCATGGTCCCTGACCCACCATTCCATGCGGGAGAAGAAGACAGGTGTAAGGCAGGAGATGGGAGTTGTTACCTTCAGCTTGGGCAGTCGCTTGATGGTTTTCAGAGGCCTCAGGACCCGCAGCACACGGAGAGACTTGATGGTCTTGATATCCCGGCCCTTGTTGGTCCTACCACGTCGGAGGGAGGCACACACACCCAAAAATGGAATGGAGAGACAATAACCTTGTAGACCTGGATGCTCTGGGGGTTTAAACTGCTGACAACACCCCCCCCCCAGCACGTGTGAAGGTGGGAACAGGAGGGGCACAAACGTGCGACTGCTGAGTGCTCAGCCCACCTAAACACATCTCCTCCAACACACACACTGACAGCTGGCAGAGATGAAAAATGAAACAGTGCTCTCCTCCTCGGGATTAGCACCTTTCCCCTTCTCCAGGGAGCAGTGACCTTACCAAACCCCTCTGTGTGGGAAGCCGGGGCTGGGGCAGGCAATGCCAGACTTTCAGGGTAAAGGCAGTACAAGGAGCTTCCCTACTACAGGCATGTGCCTTTTGCAGGTGGGGCTTGCACAAGACCCCCACCATTGCAAATTGTCTTCTACCATTACTACTAGTTGCAAGAAATTAATAATAAAATGAGGGAGATGTACTCAATGGGATCTACATTGCCAGAGAAACTGTGGATGCCCCATCCCTGGAGGTATTCTAGGCAAGGCTGGATGGGGCCCTGAGTAACCTGGTCTAGTAGAAGGTGTTCCTGCCCAAGGCAGCAGGGTTGGACCCTTGGAAGGGTCTCTAAGGTCTCCACAGATTGGGGCTGCACTTGCCTCCACCCAAAGTCAGCTGAGGCAGAGCTTACTGGTAGAATTACTGAAGAAAGCACACTCATGACCCTCATTTCTTGAATAGGATGATTATTCCCAACCACAATACCAGGGTTTTTTTCTTATGTTTTCACTGCCCACGGACTAGATCTCAGGATGGAGCAGAGATCCTGGTGAAGGTGGCACAGCTTGGATCCACCAGGCACCCTCGAAAAACATCAAGGAAATGACTTGCAACAACAGATGCTCCCAATTACATGGCTCCTCTGCTAGGGTTAATGCAACAGGGAGCACAATAATGGGCTTAATCGTTAAGAGATGTAAACAAAACCACTAATTAATAGCCCTCCCTGGGAGCACAGCCCCACACATGCATGGGAAGCAACTGTACAAACAGCCCTGGGACTCACTTTACACCTCCTGGTTCCTGTTTTGCTCATTATCAGGGGCCTGGGCATCTGACTCAGGGCTGGGGTGAGGATTTGGGGGCAGTGCTCAGCTGGTGCAAGCTGCCACCAAGGACAGCTCAACTGCAGTGATTAACATCTACTAAGGAGGGATCTCTTCAGACCTCAGGGGTGCCTGCACAGCAGTGTACCGCAGTCTCTGCAAATGCAGCTAAGGGTCAGCACTGGCACTGGACAGACCAACTTCCATCTGCACCCGTCCCCCTGTGCTCCCCAGATCACCATCCCACAATATCCCAACCACCATAGTTACCCCAAAGCATTCCTGTCGGCGATCCAGCCCAGCAGCCATCAAACAGCACCAGCAGAGAGAGGGAAAAAGAGAGAAAAGAGAAAGAAGGTAAGAAAAGCATCAGGGAAGCTGCACAGTGACGACTGCAGCCTCTCAGGTACGGGGACCCTGTGGCAGCTGTCCATCACTCCATGCTTAGGTTGAAAGGCACGATGAGTAGACCACACTGTGTCCTTCAGGATGGGGCATATTTCCAGGGAGACTCATCCAGCAAGCCAGGAGATCCTGCCCTCCCTGCTGGAGGTGTTGGGTTGGGGGCACATAGCAAAAGCTCTGCTGCAAGAGAAACCTGTAGAGAGCAGGACACTGGGCAACAGCAGGTGGGTTCATGGTCCTCCTTAGCCAAGAGTTGAGGGGGGACCTCAAGAGTCAGCCCCAACCAGCCAAAGGTAAGTGCTTCCAAGGGAACCTACCTTCGAAGCCACAATAGTTCCCATCCAAATTCTGCCAAATCACCTCCATCGAGAAATCCACTGATTAAGAGCCTGAACTGCAGTACAGAATCTCCTGCAACCCAGCAAGACACTCACTTGGACAAGCCAAGGTGGGCTACAGGGTCCTTAGTTGTAATCAAACCTCTGTCCCTGTTTGAGCTGAGTCCCTGCCACGTGCACACAGAGCACTCAGCGCCGCAGGCAAAGCCTACAGGTAAAACATTTCTTAAAACACATAAAAGTAACCCCAGACCCTGGATGCATGTTAGTCCAACAGGTGGGAAGGTCTGTTGAAAAGGGGATAGTTTAACTTTGCAGCACTTCTCTGGTGGGACCTCTGTCCTGACCAGCCTCACACCAGGTTATTTTGCAGTATGTAGGCGTCCCTCTTTCTTCCAGACACTGATGTCAACTGGCAGAAGGAGATGCTGCTCTGCAAGGAAAGAGGTACCTCTGCTGGGCACCTGCCCTTGCTCACCAGGTAAGATGAGGGCTACACACTGACCACTCAACCTCCCCACCACCTCTGGGCAGCTGTGCAGAGCCACGAGCAAGTACCACTCCACTGCACAGTGCCTCCTCAGAGGGTGCCACAGGAGGCATAAGTGAGCAGGGTCTTTAGTTATGGTTCTGGTTATTCCAGCTAACTGAATTTGAACTCTTTGGAGATTTACAGCTTTTTATTCAGGCTGTGTATGGATTGATGTATTAGCTTTCCATGTGGAGAGCTATGGATGAGCCGAGACGGCCTCTTGCTCAGGATGCACAGGCTCTGAGGGAGGAATGGACAAGCCATGATGGCTCAGGAAGAGATGGCTTTATGGGTGGGCTCTTGCTTACTGGTGATTTGGATGGGGCACCAACAGTCAGCAGGGGCTGGAACCACCGGACCAGCTCAAAGACCTCCTGGTGTGCCCACAGTCACACAGGACCCCTGTGGGAAAACCAAACCACAGAGGGGAGGCAAAATGGGGCAGAAAATCTTCGTGGCACGTCCCAGCACTTCTACTGGGAAGTGCTGGACTTAGTCACCAGCTGCTCTCATCCAGGTAATCACTGCAGCCACTCCATGGCCATCACTGCCGACCCAGCACCATGGAGGAGAGGAGAGGGAGTACAAGAAGGAGGACAATCACCCCACCCCAGACCCACATCAGAGAGCTCATGGAGGGACAAAAAAAGGAGATGGATTCAAACATCACCACCAGAGTTTTCCTGTCAAGACCAGGAGGGAGGGTGTCAGGCTGGGACACGTAGACCTGGGGAACATCCTGCAGCTCCCGGGGGTGTAGCAGTGATGGGCTGCCAAGAGGAGAGGCAGGTGTTTTTATAAACGCTTTATAATGTATAAACCCATCGGAAATCGCCGTGGATCCTTTGTTCCCCTCACTCCCAAAGCCATGAGATCATCTCCTCCAGCGGGAGCCACCGTTGGAGGCGGGGAGATGGACAATCCTGCAGGTTTACATTATAAAGAGCCCCTGTCCACAACACAAGCAACTCAGTATCTACCCAGCTACGGCTACAAGAGTGAGCAGGCAACATCAATGCTTGTTGCAAATGGGTGTGGAGATGCCAGGGCCTTCTCCATGGGAAGGGGTTCTGTGCCACAGCCCATGGCAGTGATCACCCTCGAGAATTCAGCTGCCCCATGCCCAGAGGGAATGTCCTTCCCTCCGGAGCATGGGTGGAGGCAGGCAGGTGACAAGCAGGGCTGGAAGGAACACGGCAGCTTCCCCACATGCTCAGTGCTGGACCCTGCTAGCTCCCAGGGCAATCCCAGGAGTTGTGCCACCTTTGTGGGGAGGGGGAAAGGGGACAGCAAACACAGATTACCATACTGTTAGCACTGGTGAGGACACTCATCCACCCAGGAGCAGGCTGAGCCATCAACTTATGCTCCTTCAGCCATCAAAAGTCTTGATGGAAGGAAAAGGCTCCCTTGTCCTCCATTAAAGATCCTCAAACTATTCAGTGCATCTTCAGGCAGGTGATGCCCTTGAGCCCTGCCAGACATGCTCTGAGGGGCTGCCCTGGCAGAGGAGGGATCAGCCAGATCCCAAAGATGCCTGATCCACCCTTGTGGTGGCCAAGGTGGCCTCCTGGGGGCTCAGAGCATTGTCCCCAGCCAGCAAACTTGCCCCATGCCCCTTACCCATGCCAGGGTCTGCAGTCATCCCCCTGCCCTGCCCAGGGGCTGGTTCATCCCCGCGTTGTGGGAGCTGAATTCTCCCATGCTCTTCCCAAGGAGAGAGCAGGGGCTGAAAGCACCGGGCAAGGAATGGCGTGAGGAGGGTGAGGAAGGCAAAAGCAACGAGCCAGGGAGGGTGCAAGTGGGCGAGAACCAGGAGAAGGAGCTGCCGCCCAGTCTGGGGTGAGATGGGAGGGATGGATTACAGGCTGTAATCCATCGAGTGACCTCAGGGCTCCGACACAGCCGCCCCGAGAGCCTCGCACGGTACCTGAGCTGTGGACAAGGACAAGGCTCCAGTCTGCGTGGCTGCCAGGCCCTCCCCTCTCACCAGCACTAACGCCACCGCCGCCAGTGTCAGAGGCACAAAGAGAGAACAACAGCGTGACAAAGGAGCCCGAGCCTCTCCTCTCTTCTCTCCCTCCTCAGGCACCAGCAGGGCACCACAGCAGCCCCGGGGCCTGCGAGCATCACCTTGGCACCACGCATCCCTCCCTGTGCTCATGCTGCATCACCTGCCCCAACCAGCATGAAATTCATCCCTGGGTGCTCCTCCCCTCCAGGGCACAGGCACCACAGACATCCCAGTACCTGCAGGTGCCACAAGCTCCGTTCCAGAGCCCAACCACAGGGTGATGCTCAGCAAGGACACACTGCAGGCCAAGCACACAGCACCCTGCCCCCGTGGTGGTGCTGCAGAGGCTGCTGGCACAAACCCCACCAGCCACATCCCCATCCCTGCAGGGCTCCAGAGCAACACTCCCCCTCATAACAGAGGAAAAGTCATCAGCCAGGAGGAACCATTTCCAGCACAAACATGTTCAGAGGGCAGCTCCACCCTGCTGGTTACTGCTTCTGCTGTCTCTGTGCACCCCAAGATGCATAGCAGGTGTATAGCTCCAGCTCTGCCACCCTTATGTTTTCTCCCCTCTCTAACAGCCCCTTCTGCTCTGTTTCAAATCCACTTTCACCATCAACCTCTTCCTAGCACCGCCAGCGCGCCTTGCCTTGCTCCCTGCCTGCTTGCTCACCACCATTTGACAAACAAGGAGAAATAACATCTCTGGAGCAGCCCCACGCCACTGCCAGGAGCCATCCCAGCAGCAGAGCAGAAGGGTGCAGAGAAATAAAAAAAACAAAGTCAGGGTCTAGTAGCCATAAGACACAGCTGCATTCTTTTCCCACCACAGCCAAGGGAAGGCAGGGAGTGACAAGGATGGCGGCCACTTACGCCAAGGCAAAAGCCACCAGTGCTCCCACCACAACGATGAAATCCAGGATGTTCCAGAGGTCTCGGAAGTAGGAGCCGTCCTGCAGGATCAAGCCTTGATCAATCATCTGGAGGGGAGAAACAGAGAGAAAAACAGGCAAGGGATGAGCAGCTCAGACATCAAGTGGAAGCAGCCACTGGCAGGACAAGCTGGGGGACAGGGACACTGCTGGGGAGTAGCAGACTCATCCCTGTGTCCTGGGTAGAGGTCAAGGAGCATCATATTTGTGTGGAAGCCTGGAGGCTGATAAAACTGGTGCTGAGCACTCTGGACTCCCACTGCTGAGAACCAAACTTTAGGGTCTCTACCACCCAGATTTAGGACCAGAACTGAAAAACTGAGCTATTTCCCATCCCCTGCAAGGATGCTGCCAGTCTAAGCGCCCACAGCCTGCAAGGGCTCTTACCTTGATAACCATCTCAAAGGTGAAGACGCCAGTGAAGACATAGTCAAAATACCTCAGGACCTGCAGAGAGAGGTCACGGGTGCTCTGCAGCCGCTGCCAAGCAAACAGGCCCACTTGTACCCACCCAGAACCCACTACCACCCCACACTGGGGCTCGCCTGGCTCAGGTGCAGACAGAGGGTTGGTTTCCTTGCCCCAAACCCAGCCTGTTCCCTAAGAGTTCAGTACAGTCATAAACCCAGCCTGTGTAGGCAGGAGGGAATAATTTCCTGTGCGTGGTGCAAGTGGCTTGGGACTCATGCTGTGAGCTGGAACTGTGTGTCTCCACGCCAGTGCCTGTGAACACCAGCATCTAAAGTAGTTTAAGCTACTTTACTGCTGACAAGGTGCCCTGGTCTGCAGCCTGGGCTCTAAACCCCTCGTGTGGGAAGCTAGGGGTTTACAAAGGAAGGTGATAAGGAAGAAGCCAGACTCCATGGCACAGTGCAGGTGCTGCCACCAGCTGCCCTGACTCCCTGTCCCACACGTGCCCCACCACAGAAGCTAAAATTCTACAGGACCTCTGCCTGCACTGCCCTGCGGGACCCGGGGAGCGGGAGAGGGTTGCAATCACTTTGTTGCGGTCGGAGTTGGTGAGGACGGGATCCTCGGCTGCCAGGGCGATGCTGCTGGCGGCGATCACCAGGAGGATGCACATCTCGAAGTAGCGCAGGTTCACGATGTAGTGGCAGGCCCTCCGCACCCTGTGGGGACACAGCCCGACGCCCCGACCTGTGAGCCCCCGGCAGGCCCCAGCCACGGCCCACGCGCAAAACCCACCCCACGTCACCGCCTTCCAGGGCGGAAAGATGGGCAGCAAAGTCTGAGGAGCAAGAGAAGGGAGCCCAGGGGGAATTTGGGCTTGCTGACCCCTTAGCTTGGCTGTCCCATCCAACCAGACACCCCACAACCAGGCGGGGAAAGTCTCTGAGAAATTGGGGTGCTTATTCTTCCAGGCTGTTGGAGCTGGAGAAGAGCTACAGGGGAGTATAAAACTGCAGATAAATACAACAAGTAGTGAATAAAAATCCCAACTAGCCATCAGCAGTTGGGAGAGAGAGCCAAGAGTGTGGTTGGCACAGAGGGAGAGCGTTGTGGGGCCTGGGGAACACCACAGCAGGTCATCAAGACTGTTCAGGAGATATTCAGACTCCCTCCCACGGGGATTCCCTGTTTTCGGTGATGTCAAGGGGTCTTTCCCCTTGCAGCCCTCCCCAGCCCTGGGTCTCCTGTGATCCAAAAAATGTCTCACGGGTTGGTGGTGCTGAAGATGAACATGGAACTGTGCGGCACCATCGCTTTGCCTGTCTCGCTTTTTTCCTTCTTCCGCTTCTTCTTCTCCATTTCCTCCTCATCCTCTTTGGTCTCGGCCTCCTTTAAGGGGCTGGCTTCACCATCTGTCTTGTTGCTAACTGCAGGAAAGCGAGAGCCTTTGCCCGGCCTTGCACCCAGACAGCACCCTGGGGTGTCCCTGCCACATGCAAACGCCCTGACTCCCACTTTAAATCCCTGTGCTGTTATGGGGAGAGGGCCCCCCCCTCTCAGATGGAAATAAAAAGAGACGAGCTGCTGGGATGAAGCAGATGAAATGGGGTTTAACAAGGCCAGTTTTCACCATGCTGTTTAATTAATAACACCGTTTAAAGCAGTTCACCTTGACAGCGAGAATGCTGTTAAGGTGTTTGAGAGGCAGCAAGCTGGTGGAGGCTGTGCACGTGTCAGGAAAAACAGGGAATGCAAGTGTTTTGCCCAGGAGGAGAGGAAGGGGGAATGAGGAATCAGATGAAGGGGTGGATGGGAAGAAGGTGAGGAAGGGACATGGTCCCCAGGGGATGGTGGCACATCAGCATTACATTTGGGGCTCCCCTGCGAAACTGGGGTGCTGGAGGGAGGTGCTGCGAGGAGCAGCAAAGAAATCCCCCCCTCCAGCTGATGGATGTGGACAGGAAAAGCCCATGCAAGCGGCTTTCCATCCCCACAGGGTCCCCGAGGGCTGGGACAGGGGCTCAGGAAAGAGAGATGGGTCCTCACTCTGTACCACAGCGGAGTCGTGGACATCGATCATGATGGTGGTGCTCTCTGTGGCCTTCTCGGTGTTGGGGGTGATGGAGGAGAGGTCGGGCTCGCTCCGGCTGACGGTGCGACTGCCCTGCAGCAGTGCCTGCTCGCTGGTGTCCGGGCTGCTGCAGTCCTGCTCCGTCAGGTTGCCTGTCTTACCCCCGTGGGGCTCGGGGGCTGCATGTGGGGGGCATTCTCCTCTCCTTGGTCAAGTACTCCCAAATTCAGATCGGGCGCATCGCCGCGCAGGGACCGCTTTGTCCTGACAGGAGGGATGTGAGAGAAACAAGGCCGTGAGGGATAGGGATGATTAGAGCCATGATGGGAGCTGTGGGAATCGGCAAGATGCTCCTCCCCAGTTACCAACCTGACGGACTCTCCGCTCGCTTGGCCTCCCCCTGAATCAGTGCCTCGGCTGCGGCCACGTCCCCACGCCGGTCCCCATCCTGTGCCCCCTCCATGGTGCTGGCCTCCTCCAGACCCATCTCCTGGCTGGCCGAGCGGCTCCCCAAGATGCCAGCTTGCTCCTTCCCCTCCATCCGGGCTCTGCGGTGCCGGCTGCGCCGCTGGCTCTGCCTCATCCTGGCCCTATCCTCGACGCTGCCGCCTGCCCCGTCCTGCTCGCCCAGCTCACAGTTCCCATGGCATGATTTCTGCTGCCACATATCCTTGTCCCGCTTGGCCCGGGGCGATGGGCTCCTCCTGTCCTCACCGCCGCCGGGGTTGGCTCCCGGGACAGGCTGCTCCGGTCCCTCAGCCAGCGGCCGCTCGCCCTTGCCCTGCTCCTCGGCGCATTTCTCCAGGGTGACGCCATCCCCTGGTTTCTTCCTGCGGAAGATGCTGGCGTGGGGGTTGATGAGGGGCGGCTCGTCCTTGTTGATGCCCTCCTGGCTGGACATCTGCATGTGCCGGCGCAGCTGGCTGGTGCGCTGCTCCCACACCGACATGTGAGGTGCCGCCGCCGCCGTCCCGCCTGCGACGGGGCACAGCAAGCGGTCAGCATCCTGGCTGACCCCACCTCCCACCAGGTGAAGCACCCGCCCTGGATTTAATCTGGGAATCCCAGGGAGAGGGAAATGCCACCACCAGGGTTACAGGCTGTGCTAAGACTTCGTCAGCATCCCTCTGGTGCTGGCAGGGGCTGGAAACAGGGCTAAGACTGTACTTCTGGCCCCTTCAGAAGGCATCGGGCTGATGGATGACCAGCCCCAGCAGCCTCACTGCTGCCTTGAAGTTTTCTTGTCCAGCTTCTAGGAGCAGACAGCACCCTGGCTTGCCCTACCCCAGACAGGCAGGGACCACCTTCCTCTTGTGCCTGTAGCCACCTTAAATATGGGCCAAGCCCTCTCGCTGCATACAGGGACCCTTTTTTGCCTCTCGCCAGCACATCCCGGGTAGGAAGTCTGCCCCGAGGCTTGGGGAGCAGCAATTTTGACTGTCTGTAGGGGAAGGAGCTGTACTGGGCTTCTCTGTGTGGAGGACTAGGCTATGCCACGAAAACCTTAGCAGTGCCGTAAGTTCGCCGGCAAACGCCCTGGAGCAGACAGACGTGCCCTTCCCGACACACCTAAGGCACAGGGAAACACCCACGAGCACATACACCGCTCACACACCGCGCACGGCACATCCACGGGCGGCGACACGCACGTACGGCACAGCACCACACACGGGGGGTCCGGCACACACCCGGCCACACGCACGCACGGACGGGGTGCACGGGAGCACACGGATACAGGCACACACGCGGCCACCCCCTCCCCGCCCTGCCGAGGAGGCCGGAGGGGAGCGGGGTGTGCCCCGGCCCCACGGACGCACAGACAGCACAGGAGCCACAGACGGACACGCGCCCCCGCGGCCCACATACAGGTGGCTGCTGCGTGGCTCCCACATCGACATGTGGTGTCTCCTCCGCCTGTCTCTTCTGGGGAGGAAAAACAAACGGGTTCAATCCCCCTCTTCGCCCCTCCTTCCACTGCTGTGGGCAGCGCAGAGAGGCGTCCCCCCACCCCGGGCAGCCGGCATCTCTTTGCCGAGCGGCTGCTGGGCAGTGAGTCCCTCCCTGCGTGTGCACAGTGAAGTCCCACTTGCACAACAGCAGTGGGCTGCCCACAATCCCACTGACACGCTGTGATCCATTCCGTGGGGGCCACGGAGCCCTCCCCACACCACGCAAGGGGAGAGCAGTCCTTCAGAAGCCCCCATGCGTCCTTGGATATTTAACAGCTGCTTCAAACTGCTCCAAATTCACTTTTCCCAAGAAAAACGTGGCAATTGGAAAGAGGAAGGATTGCATCAGGCCAGCCCCAAGCTGCTCAGAGCTGTCACCATGCTGCCCTAGGACTACAGAGGGGAACATGAAGCTCCCCAGCAAATGCAAGGCACAAGCCCAGGGTGAGATGCCACAGAGCTCCTGTCACTTGAGCAGCCCCCACACAGAGCAGATTAACAGGGCTGGCAGTGTCCTTCACCCCCACCAGCAGTTGGGGAGATTCCAGGCTTTAACCTTCATATCAACACAGAAAAGATTCAGATAAGCACAGCTCCAAGCAAACTGCCCCAAGCAGATGCAATCATAGAATCACAGAATCCCTAAAGTTGGAATGGATCTACAAGGATCGTTGAGTCCAACCCTTGACACTGCACAAGACAACTCCAAGAACCACACCACGTGCCTGAGATCATTGTCCAAATGCTTCTTGAGCTCTGGTAGGCTCAAGACCACCCCATAAGAGTTTGAAGACGCTCCCCGTTGTCCTACCACTTGTCAAAAAAACACCTTGTCAAAAGTCCCTCTCCGGCTCTCTTACAGCCCCTTTAGGTACTGGAAGGTGCTTTAAGGTCTCCCTGGAGCTTCCTCTTCTCCAGGCTGAACAACCTTAACTCTCTCAGCCTGTCCCCTCAGGGGAGGCGCTCTGGTGACGCTGGTCCTTACAGCACGTGAACAGCCCAGTGCCACGCTCAAGGCAGGGATCGAGTTGCAGGCACCCGCCACCGTCCCCACAGCAAGTGCCCGAGCCTCCGAAGGCATCCACGCACCACGCTGGGCACCAGCACATGACAGCGCCCGCACGCGTCCATCTGGCCACCCACTCGCCAAACGGCCCCGCGCCATCTGCACGCACGAACACAACACCCCGACCGGCACCGCGGCCGCCCGCGCCAGCTCCCGTGGGAGCACTCATCCCGTGGGAGTGCTCGTCCCCGCGCGCCGCCGGACCCCTCTGCAGGCAGGAATGCTGCACCGACCTGCCCGCGCCGGGTACCCACCGAGGAGTGAAGCCATCCGTGCCTGTGCACACACTCGAAGGCAGAGGCCAGCTCTGCTCTGGCTTGTCCCTTGCTGTGCCGTCCCCACTGTCCCTCCCTGGCTGCTGGCATCAAGTGCAGCACCACCAAAAGCACATCGGAGCCGATGCTCGCAACACACCCCACCACGGCATCACACTACCTGCCCCAAACCCTATCCATCCTCATGAGTGGGAGGAGCTGGAAAAAAAGACCTGTGAATGTCAATACCTCTCATTTCAATGCCTTGAGAACAATAAAGGAAAGGTTAGAGACTGTTTTCCCAACCAGCTCTACCTCACAATGACCAGAAAGCTTTATCAGGGATGTGCAGTGTGGGCAATTCTTTTACTGCCCTAATATATTCCATCTCCCCCTCTTCCTCTCTTCTATCTGTCCATTCTTTATTCTTTCCTGCAGCCTAAATCCCTCTGTTTTCTCACTTTATCCAACACATTCCCATTGGTAGCCAGAAACAGTCATGACATACAGATTCCACCATCTTTCCCATTATCCCCCCAGGTACTTGGTCTGACACAGATTTATTATGAACATCCCATCACCCCCAAAACAAGGTGAAATCTGTGGCTGCTGGGAGGGCAGGCAGGGCTCACAAGTACCCCTGGTTCCTGCTCCCCCTAAAACCATGAGTGAGGAGACCATCAGATCCCACCACTGCCAAACCAGGGAGGGGGCTGTTGCCAACGCTGCCTCCGACCCCCCCAGATCAGCACTGAAAACAGCAGTTTCTCTCAGCAAATCTGCAAGAGATTCTGCCGTGTACGAGCTTGGCTGGGTTTCAAAGCATAACGAAACCTTAAAATTCCCTGGGAAGGGATTCTATAAAAAAAAAAAAAAAAAAAAAAAAAAAAAAAAGGGGGAGAAAAAAAATAATCCCTTCAGCTGTACCGAAATGTACTGTTTTGGGAAACAAATCAAAACGCCTCGTTCCAATGTTGACTTTGAAAGTTTTATGTGATTTAGACCATATGACACTGCAAAATAAAGAGAAAAAAGGCATCTAGAAAGGAAAAAACAGAATTTTCTCCTGCTGAAACACAGAGACAAGGCTCCTTAACACCATGCTGCAGGTTTACGTAGTTTGAGGCTTTTTCTCCTTGCTCAAATCAAATTTCTGTACAATCAAATGTTGTTTCACAAACCTGCTCCATCTCTCCTAACTGCATTCACTCCCAAGGAAGGAGCCTGGGGGAGATTTGTGACACTGCTGCTCCCTTCTCCCCCAGCCCTGGCTGCTCTCTTGCAGCTCTGCCACAAAGAAATGCTCCCCAGGAACAAATATCACCTCTCCTCAAGAATAGTTTGAGATACCTTCCTCCTCCCCAGCCTCCTTGCCCACCCTTAGCATCAGCCCCGAGTGTTTGAGCTCATATTTGGGGCAGAAAACCCTTTTTAGCATATTTCTGCCATGCCCAAGCACTGGGTCTGCTGCTTGGGGTAGGGTCTGGCAAGTTAAGGTCCTCCAGGGTGACCTGGTCCCTGTGCTGCCACCTCTCCAAAGGCACTGCTGCTCATGGGGAGCACAGTCCTAGATCTCAATCCATCCATCCATCCTCAGGAAGACACCCAGAGAGGGTCACCCCATGCAGGGACCTCTTTTTTTTGTGGAAGCCCCCACAACCAGCCATACCAGGCTCTGCTGCAGCTCTGTGCCCTTCTCAGAAGCCTGGCTGGGCTCAGGGGCTCACTGGGGTAGCAGTGGTGGTGGGGAGGGGGTCACTCACTCGATAGCTGGCATGTTTGGGGCAGACATGGGGCTGACTTCTTTGGCTTTCTGAAGGGCGTGCTTCTGGTTAAAGGCCTCCTCTTCCTCCTGCTCATCCTGCAGAGAAAAGAGGGGCATTGCTTAGTGGGATGATGGGATTTCAAGGGAAGGTACAGCCATGTGAAGGATCTGCAGGGCTACCCTACATGCCAAAGCATGAGGGACAAAGGGGGGGGCCTGTATTTCCAGAAACAGCCTTTATTTTCGTTGTGCTGTAGGGATGAAACTTCCCCACTACACCAGATCTTACTGAAGGCGTGAGCTCTACTTAAATAAGTGAACCCAGCCCACTCCAGGCAAGAGCTAGAACAGCCCCAGACAGCATAGACAAGCTCAGCCCTCCCTTCTTCACAGCCACAGGGGCTACACAGGCATCCCCCTAACAGAGTGGGAGGTAAGGCATCCATGAATGACCCCGGCAGAGACCGGATTGATTTAATGAGTATGGTTGTGTCTCCGGAGCAAAAAATGTCATTAGGAGTCATTAGCGAGCATTCAGCCTTTTCAGAAACTCGGCACTCTCCTAATTGATGCTGCTGGCACTCCGTGGGGCTCTCCCATCCCTCTCACCCCAGAGGCAGCCAGCAGCCCCTGGAAGTGCCATCTGCACCCACTGTGGGAGGACAGGGACCCCCCCCAAGCACCCCTCAGGCAAACCAGCACCATGCTCCATTTCGGGTCAGATTTACACCAGCGCAGAAGCCTCGCAGCGAGCCCCAAGGACATCAATAACAGGCACAGGCTCCACAAAAATCTGGTCCCCACGGGATCACTGGTCTGCTCCGAAGAGCGGCAATGACCATTGCAGCTCTCTCCTATTCACAGTTATCCAGATGGTGCTCCAACAATTTAGCATTCCCCAAATATTTCCCAGCATGGTCTTAAAAACAGGTAAGCCCAATAACCTTCTTAAGCACCAGTCTAAATTGCATCCTAAATCACATTCACCGCCCTGCGGGCAGATGGGGATTAAATACTGACACCACTGGAAAGTGCTTCCCACTCCACATCTCCAGAGTGCTCCAGAAAATAACAGTCCCCACACCAGATCCCATCTGACAGACGAGGGTTATCTCAATCTGACTGGAAGCAAACAGAACTGGGGAGCTTAAATGGAGAAACAGTTAAAGCCACACTTGAAGTGTGGGTGTTCCTGAAGAGATCAGTAGGTTTAAGCACTTTCCTAAATCAAAGTCTAAATGCCTTTGCCCCCACTCCCTTCACAAAAGAAGGAAAAGGAGCAGCAGGAAGGTACCTTGGTGAGCTCCTGGGCGTTGGCCAGGTTGTCCACGGCAATGGCCAAGAAGACGTTCAGCAGAGTATCTGTGAGCAGCTAAGGATGCACAAGCCGTGTGTTAAGGACATGCCTGTCTGCAGCTACCAAGGGAGGGTGGCCCTGATGGCTCCTCGTCAGCGCAGCGAGGAGCAGCCAAAGGCATAAACTCCTCACTCATCCCATTTAAACAGCCCTCAGTGCACCTCCAGACAGCTGCTCCTCTGCACTTGGGCTACCCAGCACCGCCAGGTGCGTGGTGGGTCTTTCCCAGTTGGGAGAGAAGGAAGGAGCAGTGGGTGGGGAGGGGAATGCCCCCAGAGAGGGTGATAAGGTGGGGTTGTCACCACTCAAAGCACAGCAGCCATGTGGATACAGTTTCCAAACAAGGTGAGGACGATGAAGTAGATGGAGGACCACATCCCTGAGCGAACGCCTCCCTGGGAGCGGATGCCATTGTACATCACCTCGTTCCAGTCCTCACCAGTCAGGATCTGCAGGAAAGCAACACAACACCTGCACCTTCTTGTCACCTGGATCTCTCCCACCAATACACAGGAGCCAAGTACAGAGACCCTGTGCAGTGGATAACCCAGCTCCTGAGCATCAGCACCTGAGGGAGATCACACTGGACACTGCTGAGGATTCACATCTCCTCAGAAGAGTTTTGAAACTCTTCATCTTCTGTAACAGAGGTGGAAGAGTTTCCATCTCTTGCCATCCACTTTGTTACACAGGAGAGGGAGGAAGCAAGTTATATCCTAAGAGCTGATAGAGGGGGGCCTGTTTGGTTTAAAGAGCCCCTTCCAGCCATGGGGGAGTGAGTCCCAAGTCCTTTCAGTTGTGTTCCCTTGCAGTCCAGCTCCTACCTGAAACACTGTCATGATGGCCGCAGGGAAAGTGTCAAAGTTGGCTGATGGAGTCCCATCCATGAAGTTAAACCTGGAAAGCAGAACCAGAACATAAACGGGATGAAATACCAAGGTCAACAAACCCCTGACTGCTATGCTATCAGCTCTCTTGTGCTTAGGAGGGCCTTTCCCCAGTCCAAAAAAGGTCTCCTGAATATTTGGTGCGAGAAACCAAAAAGTCTCCTGGCTAGAAGGACCCCCCACAGCCCAAAGGCACCCCCCGAGCAGGGACTTTTTTGTGTGAGAAGTACCACTGTTAGGAGCAGACTGAGTGGGAGGGCTTACAGTCTTCCTGGGCACCTAAAGAGGGTGTCATCACTTAACATCAAGAAATTCCTATTCCTCAGACTTGAAACAACCTACCTGCCTCCAAACAGCTGCATTCCCAGCAGGGCAAAGACCACAATGAAGAGGAAGAGGAGGAAGAGGAGACTGATAATAGACTTCATGGAGCTCATCAGGGAGACCACCAAATTTCTCAGGGATGCCCAGTACCTAGAAAAGAGAGACACTGCTGGAGCACTCACAGTGATGCTGACCTCACCAGCAGGAGAGCAGGAGTGACTGGATCTGGGCTGCAGCCCCAGTCTGAGATGGAGACTGACAGGCTCTGATGGTTGGTACGCACTTGGTTATTTTAAATATCCGCAGGAGACGAAGGGCTCGCAGGACACTGATCCCAAAAGAGGTTCCTGGTCTGAATATAGCCCAAACCACTTCAAAGATGCTTCCCACCGTGACCTGAGAAACAGACACAGCCACAAGTCAAAGACAGGCTCAGGACAGGCTGTTGCAGGAAAACATAATGTGCCTAAAGATGAGGCATCCACCACCCTGCCCAAGACCTGGTGTCTCAGGATGGCACAGGGAGGCTGCCCCAGCAGAAAGGGCTCCCCTGCCCACTGTGAGGGCCATCCCATTCTCCTCCTTGGTGCCTTATGTTGCATCTCCCCCCACACCCACAGCATCTCCAGGCCTGCTTACCCCACAGTCAAAGCAGTTGAAGGAAGAATGGAAATAAAGGCGTGGCCCCATCCCGTACATCTTTAAGGACATCTCCAGCAGGAAGAGCCCAAGAAACAGGAACTCTGCATAGTCTAAAAGAGAAAACCCAAACATGCATGCACCCACCTGTCACCATACAGCACACCACAGAAATGGGACAAGTCAAGGACCACACTGTATCCCCAGGCTCTCTGAGTCTGAGATGAGGGAAGTTTGTCTGTGAGGAGCTAAATTGTATGTAACAGAGCATCAACCCCATGGCTTAATTCTTCAGGGTAGGTACACCTGTGTCCCAGGGGTTTGGGAGGACCAGGGATGGCCAGCACAGAGCAGAGCAGCTCTTCAGCATGATTTGACAGTGGTTGAGGCGTATGCAAAGGCATCAACCACATGACACTATAGGGGAATATTAGCAACCTGGATTTAAATCATTGCACGGCTGGAACTTGGCCAGAGAAACCAAGCCGAACAGCCAAGAGCCAGTGAAAAGCTTCTCCAGCTATTTCCTGAACGTTTAGCAGGCAAGAACCTGGCTCTTCCCCTTGTCCAGAAGATGCTTCTCACCAGGACCAGCTGCCGTACCACACCATGGCGTGCTGGGATCCCGGCAGGCCCGCGCACACCATTGCAGATTTGGGTAGACACAGTGGTTGACAGGGACATTTTCAAGGTAAGAATAACAAGCAGCACTAGTGCAGCAGCAGCAGCAGCTCAGGAGTAACACATGACTGCCGTGGGGCTGACCACACTGCTCTGCACTTTGTCCACGCTAGGATAGGCATAGGCATAGTGCCTTTGAGACCTGACCTTGTACCATGGCCCACGGGCTGAGGGATGCTCCTGTAACTGGAAGCTTGGAATGCCCATGCCGTGCTCTGCACCAGAATTTTGACTCCATGACCAGTCTCGTCCCTGCAAACTCACACCTTTCAGCAATTGCTTGTGGGCATTCAAAGACGTGTCTCCAGTAAGATTTCCATCACCACTGGTCACAATTTTAGGATAAATCCCACCGAGACCCACAGTCTATTTCTCTCTGTTGACAAACGCATCGGACCTGAAGGACACGAGGCCGGTACAACCCCTCCACATTTGGTCACAGGGCTGAGACAGCCCTTAGTGGCCACAGGGCCAAGGGCAAAGCTAAATTCCATGGCTGTACACGCTCCTTTGTTATCAACAGTGAATGTAATTCAGGTTATTCCCCACCCAGCTCCATACCAGCATGGTTCTGGTGGGGTTCATCCCCACGTGCCCTGAGGCAAGGAAGCAAGGGTGTGCTGCAACCTCCAGCTACCAGAGACAAGAAGGTTTTGCCCGCCCAGGTAAGCTCTCACACCTACACAAAGCCCAGGGACTCACAGAGGAAGTGGGTGAGCCAGGCTGGCTGGTTGTGATGGACGATGGCCACACAGGCAGTGTTGAGAGCCACCAGGCTCAGGACGATCCAGTAGAAGACCTGGGATTTCACCATGTGGCGAACGGAGATGCGCAGGAGTCGCTCCTTGTGTCGTAAGTAGGAGGCACTGTCCATTCTGGCACCTTTGAGGCCAGACTGACTCAAGGGGTTACCTAAAGGAAAAGAGGGGGGGACAAGGAGTTGGGTGCTTCACTCAAGGTGAGAGAAGGACTTGGATGCTCCAGCCTTCCCTGCAACATGAGACAGGACAGGCGGCTCACGGACATTGCTCTTAAGGGACACAACTTATCCAAATGGTTATTAAGTGGCACAGGCGACAGCAGCCGAACTAGCAGAGAGGGCTGATCTGTGACAGCCTCCACGTGATGGGTGTGACTCTGGCAACTCAATAAGCTGGCAGAGGTTTCGGGGAAGCAAGCTGCAAACTGCACTGACCCAAGGTTGGATGAAGAGGTCTTCTCTGTGCCAGCCTCCGCTCGCCCACGGAGGAGATATCGACACAGTGCTCGTCACTCGAGCTCATGGCATCTGTCCGGTTCCTTTTGATGGTGGCTCGCCTGAGCACTGGGAAGGGAAGAGGAATGGGTGTTGGACAGTGGCAAAATTCTGCCAGCAGCCAGCTCATTAACCAGGACCAGGTGACCAGTGCTTAGGTCTGGCAAGAGGGGTTAAGCTCAGGGTTTAAGCTGTCAATCCACCTCCCCACACCCCCCTCATAGGCTGCAGATTCCACTGAGGCACCCCCAGACCTCCTGTCTCAACTAGGCAGGCAGAAAGAAAAGCAGGCAGATTTTAAGGGCGTTGCTTGTCTTACCGTCTAAGGCTGAGGTCCCAGAATTTTTGTTCTCTTCAGCCAGCATGACTTCCTCTATGCAAAACACACAGTTCAGCATCAGGAGATGAGACACCATCAGACATCACTGCCTTGTACCTAATCACCTTTCCCAGCCCAGAGGCTGGCTCTAGGTTGCAAACTCTTATCAAGTATTGGTTAGGAGGGTAGCAAGTGGCAGCTACCACACACTGGGTCAGAAAGAAAAATTACTTGTAATCGTCCCTTCTCCCTCCACTGTCATTAACCTCACCATGAAGCTGAACATTGTAGTCAGGTCAGGGGCTCTACAATCCAACCCAGAGCCAAAACTAAGGCCTGGGGCTCAGGGCTCGTTTCGAGATACCCATATTTTACAAGTCTGAATGCTAGATGAAAGTGTAAATCTTCCCTTCACAGAGCTCAACGCACTGACCTGATTCCTATGAGGAGCAAGCAAGGACATGGGCTGTGGCAACACCCACAGGCTGTCACACTTGGCTGGGTGTCAGCAGGAAGCCTGGAACCTCCACCACCCCAAGCCCTTGCTCAGGTCCACGAGCCCCAAGGCAGGAACCAGTAAGTGCATCCCCTCCAGACAGCTCCAGGAGGAAATTTAACTGGAAAACCAGTCTCACCCCTCACTGCTCTACATTCCCACTGCCCACCACTGCAGGGGACTCCAGCAAACGTCAAGAGAAAGGAAACCACTGCAGAGCAAAGCTGACAGCCGTGTTGTTCACAGCCTCCCCTGGAGATGTAGCAAGCCTCGTGTTCAGAACCTGACAGTTTCATGCCACAGAACAAGAGGTTTCATCAGCGGTTGGTGATGTCCTTGTTTGCAGCCTGGCCGGGCCATCACACCGAGCTCACCCGACATCACCACGGGAGCACCTGAGCCACTTCAGGGTTGCACTGGATGTCGCTCAGGGATTCCCTTCCAGCCCTGCCACCCCACATGACCGGCAGTCTGTAGTGCCCTCAGAGCCCCCCGGCCCACCAGCCTTTACCCGCTTTGTCTATCCATGCCCGGTATCCGTTGAGCTCCCGCTCGATCTGCTGCTGGCGCCGCAGCTTCATGAAGGCTCGGCGGTTCTCCACTCGCTCGCGCTCTTTGGCAAACTCCCTGGGGAAGGGCAGAAGGGAGTGGTGAGAGCAGGTCCGAGGGGCAGCAGGATGTGCAGGGGGCTGGAGAACCACGGGGATGGCAGGGACCAAGGGTTTGCCAAGGTGATTGCTGGGGAGATGCACAGCCGTCCCTGGCCAAAGCACGGCCAGGGGATGGGTGAATGATCAGGGGGAGAAAAGGAGGCGTGGATGGACATGAGCAAACCCCCTGCTTGACTGCTGAGTCCTGCATGCCCCAGCTGGGAGCTGCCACCATTCAGGGTGGGTGCTCCCAGTGCCACCCAACTCCAGAACAGGCTCAGCTTCTGTGTGTCCCTTCAGGGAATAAAAACCAGGCAGTGAAAAGAGACAGTGAGGGGATGGAGCAGGGCAGGTCATGTCCCCTGCCTTTACCTCCTCCTCTGAATTCCTTTTCTTTCCAGTTTCTCATTGGATTATTTTCCCAGGACTTGAGACATCCCTGTTGTCCTCCTCTGGATTTCAGTGTCTCACAAGAACTGTCCAAGTGTGATGACCAGCCCAGAAGAGGACAACAGCTTGGGACATCTCTGCAACGGGCAGGAGGTAAGGCAGCACCACAGGGGCTCTGTGCAGACTAGGGCATATCAAACACTGAGCAACACTGGCCAGAACTAATGCTGTGGCTGCTGCAGCCTCCAAAATACGTGGTGCACAGAGGCAGTAGCAACCATGTGCTCACATGCACCCCTAAGCACACAGATAAACACACTCCTCAGTACACAAGACAGGATTTCACCTATAGCCCAGCCCAAAGCTGTGTGATAAGACACCCCCACTCACAAAGTACATCGAACACAAACAGAAAAATGGAAATACTTGGCAGGGAACACAGGAGTGGCAATGCAGACAATCTCCACCCACACCAGGGGCTGTGTGTAAGATGACATGGCCAGACCTGCTTCTAGGAGGTCCCACAGCCCATGTTTGCACACACCATATACCTGGGGTACCCTGACCCGAAAGTTACACCTCCACTGATGATCACATTTGCACACAGGGAGCATCCCTAATACCAGACATCCCCCCAGCACACCCTTCCTTCCTTGCCACATCATCAGGGGAGTCACAATCTGTTGACTGCAGCTCCCTGTTCCAGCCCCAAGTCCCAGCATCCACAGAACTCCAGCCCATGCCCTCATTCCCCCTCCTGGTCCCAGGGTGCCCTGAGGGAAGCATGATTACAAAGAACAAATGGCACTGTTCTCTCTGGAAGATGAACATCTCTCTCCCCAGAGACTAGCAGCAATCTCAAGCCTCGAAAAATAAAATATGTTCGAAAGAATTGAAAGGATTGGTCTGTCTGCTGCAGTGAGAGTTCAAGTGCATTACCCCAGCTGAGCTATTACACCCCTGACGCCGTGTGGGCTCTCATGTGTGTGTGTGTGTGCATGTGTTTGTGTGGAAAGCCCTGAATGTTCCCTGCAATCCCTTGTTTAAGGTCCCCAGACAATTCAAGCGTTTTTAATTCCACCCCAGGAAGGTGAAGTTTCCTGCCGCTCTGGCATTAAGCACCAAATGGCTCTCCCCCTCCAGCACTGGCTTTCAGACTGAAATGAAACTTTCTTCCCAGGGCAGGGAAGGGGAAGAGAACAAAAGGCAAGGAAGAGAAAAGCAGCCTAAGTGAAGGCAAGGAGGGTGGGAGGAGATGGGGGAGAAGGAAGGAGCTCCCACAGCCAACAGTGAAATGCACTTTCAGTTTTGGGCATGCCATGCCAAAAACCCTCCTTGCCCTATCTGGAGGAAAGGCAGGAGCATTTGGCTGTGCTATCATTCCTCACTAGCCTTTGTTTGCAAATTTGGGATGTCAAAAAATGAGAAGATGCCATTTGCAGTCTGAGTTAGTGGGGAAGTTCCTGTCTTCCTCTGATTTGGTCCTCTGGTCCTCCCAAGGCCTGAACCTCTGCCCCACAGGCCATAACCCCATGTCAGCCAGCACCTTGGCAGCACTTTCCCCAGCCAGACCCTGTCCATATAGAATCCTAGAATGATTTGGATTGGAAGAAATCTTAAAGACCATCTCATTCCTTGCCATAGGCAGGGAAACCTTCCACTAGACCATGCTTCAAGCCCCCTCCAACCAGGTCTTGAACACTTCCAGGGGTGGGGCAGCCACAGCTTCTCTGAGCAACCTGTGCCAGGGCCTCACCACCCTCACAGGGAAGAATTTCTTCCTAATATGTGACCTAACCCTGCCCTCTATCAGTTTGAAATCATTCCCCCATGTCCTGTCACTCCAGGCCCTAGTCAAAAATCCCTTCTCCAAATCCCTTGTGGCCCTTTAGGCACTGGAAGGGGCTCTAAGATCTCCTCCAGAGCCTCTTCCACTCCAGGCTGAACAACCCCAGCTCTCTCAGCTTGCCTGCAACTGGGAGCACTTGGTAAGCTTCCCCTGCTTTACACCAGCTGGGAATCAGGCCACTCTGCCACCTCCTGCTTTGCCACCCCTGTCTTCCAGCTCCTCCTCTGCTGAGGCTGGTGCACGGCGAGAGAAGCCACCCAGCTGAGCCTCAAGTCACCTTTTGCTGAAGAAGGGAACGGGAGCACCTTTTCCAGAGTCCACCTCATCAAGCATTTTCCCCCTACCCAACCATTTGCCCACAGAGCACTACTTTGCAGGGAGCTGGTGCCACACGCCTTCAGGGACAAGGTCCGTGCCGCTGCGGCAGCGTCTCGGAGGGAGTCGCTGCCCACACACTTGATCCCTAATGGATCTTAATTGCTTTTGTCCATTAGAAGCAGGAAGAGGTGGCAGAAAGGGGAGGGGGAGAAAAAAAAAAAAAGTTAATCTCAACTTAATGAATTATTACATTTCAGAGAGACACGTTACCGAGCAGGGCAGCAGCGGGGGCTGGTGACATCTGAGAGTGGGTAGGCGATGCTGACAGATCAAGGATTGCTCAGAGCCAATTTGCAGCAGCGGGTAGAGATAATACTGTGTGTGAGTGAGAACAGGGCCAGCAATGGTGACTGACAGCCGCTTGGGAAGGCTCCAAGTCACAGGCAGGGCAGCATCCCATCACCAAGAGAGCAGGTTCCTGCCTGCCATTGAAGGGCTCTGCTCCCGGTGTGTTTGGGTTACATTGCCAGGGATGGCCCAGTTTTGCCTCACAAAGAACCCAGGGCTTGCTGTCCCACGGGGTCCCTGCAAGGGGGTTCAAGGGAGTCCAGCAGATTGCACAGTCTCCACCAGCAACACCTCTGCTTGTCCGCCTGGGTCTCCAGGCCCTAAATCCTGATGGCTCCAGCATGAAAACATCCACCCATGATGGCTGAGCTCCACACGTGCCAATCCTGCGTCATTGCAGCCCTTCTCTGCCCACTCTCATGAAGCTGAAGGTGCTCACAGAGCTTTAGAGGTCAGAGTGCTGAGGGTCATGGTGGGATCTGGGGAGCAGTGTGTGCCATCTGTCCTCCTGCACACAAGGGCACCATCCATCCACACACCATGCCCAGCCTGCCGGGGCGATCAGAGCACAGATGGTTTGCTCCTCCTCTGCCTGCAAATTCTCCTCTACAGCCTTGGCGTTCCCCTCATGCAGCCTGGGAGCATCTCTGCCCCTGGTAGGAGACCTTAGGGGACACCACCACGCTCAGCCACCTTCATCTCCACGTCCCCACATCATCCCCCACACCAGGGCAGTGATGGTTTTACTGCAATGTTGTGTTCTGCTCTAACTGGAGAGCTCAGGTTGGGTTTTAATGGGAGAACCACGCATGTGGAAGCATCTAGCTTGAAAATGGCTCCCCTTTTTTGAAAACAAACAAACAAACAATAAAAACAAACACTAAAACACAAGAAAACAGAAAAACTCCCAACCAACCAACCACAAAAAAACCAACAACCAAAAACCAGTTAAGAAAAAAGAATTTCACAGATACTGCAATCCACTTTTCTACTTTTTGGACCATCTTTGAGTCCAGAGCAGGTATACAGTGCTGGTCACCTCAATATTGTGGGCTCCATGCTTTGAAACAACAAGCCAACTATCTTCAAACCCATCGATTCACCACCCTTTGCAACCATTAAAGTTTCTTCCAGCAAACCAGTTACCAAACAGGTCTTAAAACCACATAAGGCAGCAGAAAGGATGGGATGGGATGGGAAGCAAAAAAATACTGGATTACACACTGAGGTGAGACAGCAGTACTATGCTGCTATGAAAAAAAAAAAAAACAAATATAATGGCATGCATACCAAGGAAGACCATCTGTAAGACATCAGGTAATACTGCTGCTCTCCTCAGGTCTCAGCTCATGGCTCCACTTCAGGTTTGAGCACCACAGTCTGAGGGAAAACTGCCTTTGAGACTCCAGGAGGGTGTCAGAGAAGGTTATGGGACAGAACTGACAACAGACGGTGTGGGAAACACAGCTGAGACAGTTGCAAACCAGGGGGATCAGATGGTATTTACCCAAGAGGTGTAAAGGAACTGAAGTAAGAGTGTTGAACTGACTGTGCAGTCTGTAACCTGGAGCTTCAACTCAAACAGACGGTGACAAGCAGCACAGCAAAACTGGCACTGCAGACCAGGATTACTGCACTGAACCGACAGCAAGGGCAGGAGCAGGGTGCCCAAAAGGTACAAAAACCTCTGCAAAGGGAAGATATGCTTTGTAGACCTGCTTTGTAGGAGGAAATAAGTTTTTTGGCTACGGAAAATTGCTTGATTTAAGTTCACTTGAACTGCCAGAAGTCGGAGAAGATTCAAGGCCAGGCTGGATGGGGCTCTGAGCAACCTGGTCCAGTGGAAGGTGTCTCTGTCCATGGCAGGGGGTTGAAATGAGAAGATCTTTAAGGTCCCTTCCAACCCAGAACGTTCTGTTATTCTCTGAATCAACAAGGATAACTGTAAGGTCTTGCACACAGGACAACATAATCCAGGAGGGCAGCACAGCCTAGGATCTACTCAGCTGGGAAGCAGCTCTGTGGAAAGGGGCCCGTGGGTCCCAGTGACAAGCTCAGTGCAAACAAAGAGT